AAAAAGGGGGGGGGTGTGCAACTATTACACAATGAAATAAAATTGGTGCCTCATGTTTGCCGGTTTTTGTTTGTTTGTTTGTTTTTAAAAAATGATTTACCTTCAAGACTAAAAGGAATGAGGGAGAGTTCGCCATTTGCTTAAAGCAGTGGTTCCCAAACTGCGGTCTTTGAACCACCAGTGTTCCCTAAGAATTAAAATATGGTCCGTGGCTTCACCGTTACTACACCATAGTACCGAGAGCAACTGGTCTCCTGCAACCCTCTTATAGTGCCAACAGGGATGTTGGGAAGGGAGAGGCTGACTCCCCATGAAAGGCATGACAACAAGCCTCCTGACTACTGCTTCTCCTCCTCTTCCCTCCTCCTGAGCGGAGCTTTTCCATGTGGCACCTGGAAGCAGGGGTGCCTTGGTGGCTTTGTTTAGACCTGTTCCTGGGGTTATTTGGGGGTGTTGATTCAGAAAATTGCATTGGATACACTACATCAGCCCTGGATTGTTAAATATGGTTTTCTGTGGTTGAGCAGATGCCGATTACCAGATGGCATATGTTCTGTATTAAAACTAGAGCTGATGTGCTCTATCCAATGCAATTTTCTGAATCGGCACCCCAAACAACGAAACCGAATCTTAAGTTGACCAAAAACTGATTCGTAATCCTTTTGTTACTAATGTTGGAGAGTGGTCACTGGTCAAAGTGGTCCCTGGTCAAAGTGGTCCCTGACCAAGTGGTTCCTGGTCCAAGTGGTCTCTGGTCAAAAAAAGTTGGGAACCACTGAGGTAAACTGTCTGTGGGCGGGGGAAGCAAAGGAGCTTGGCATTTATTTAAACTGTCTTTCAGGAAAGCTCTGGTCTGTTTTTGTTTTGTTTAAAAGTCCCTGCGACAATTACACAAGAGAAGGAGGAAAAAATCCCGACTCTCTCCCCAAATTGGGGGGGGGGGGGGAACTATTCAATGATGGCGTCTATTACGCAATAAAACATGGTATTCATACATTTCATCTCAGATGCTCAGGATACATCTATCTATCTATCTATCTATCTATCTATCTATCTATCTATCTATCTATCTAATCATGTATAGCCCAAGATTGTCCTCATTTGGCATGCTTTGTTTTGTGACGGATCATCAGTACATAAATACTGGCTTAATTTGCAACTGCTAATGCTAAGCATATTGCTGGAAAGAAATGTGCTGACTGCAGGAAATACCATTCCTCATAATTTCTAGTTTGACCTTCAAGATTTTATATGGGGACTTTCCATCCAGACATTGATAAGGCGCAAGGCTGCTCACTTCGACATACTTGCTCCAACACTTACACACACAGAGCTTTCTACTGGGAGAAGTGAATAGCTCTGTGTATTCTGCCCTTGGGGGGGATTACTGACAATGCTTCAATTCTCCAGTGGAGAGATATTATCACAAATGCCAACATCAACGTCATATTAAAGCCATGGCCAATCATTCAGCAAGTAGACTTTCCAATCCCAGCTATGATATTTACATGCCTAGTTCTGAATTAATGGATGTTCTTCCCCTTTCCAGAATATCAGTTTCCAAAACAAAATTTCAAAGAACACTCTGCACACATTAGCTTAGCCAAATCCAGAATTCTATCTCAATGTATTTGAAATACTGAATATAACAGTGGGAGATAACATCCTGCATTTACATGGATGAAATCTTGTTTCTCAGATACTCTGCTGAGCACAACATTGGCGTGACGCAACAGTGACCAGAATTCTAAATCCAGAAGTCTTTGCCCTTGACATTGTTCAATTGATTGCATTTGTCAGCTCTTTCTCCTTTACTTTAACAGAGTTCTGCAGAGTGATGAGCAATCTGCTCGCCCATTGATTTCACTCAAAAGTTGGCCTGAATAAAACATTGCAGCTGAAGAGTGGAGGGTCACTTTTCACAAGGGTGGCACCACTTCTCTGCTGCCTTATTGTGTTGTTTGCCAGGTGTTTGACAACCCAGTTCAATATCCTATTTCTAATTTCAGACACACAGCAAAGGCAAGAGATTTAGAGTCTTGTCACTCTACCTGGTTACAGGGTTATTATTCCATTTTAATTGCCATGACATTGTATGGAATCCAAGTATTTGCAATTTGCATTTGCAATTCTCAACCAGAGAGCTCAGTAAACTACAAATCCCAGAATTCCACAGATGTCATCATGGCAATTAAACTGTAATGATACAGCTTTAACTATGTAGTGCAATGGTTCCCAATCTGTGGTCTGTGGATCCCCAGTGGTCCACAAGACCAAAAATAGGGTTCACAGCTCACCATTACTACACCGTTGCCTCCTGGACCAGAATTTTTTTTTGGGGAGGGGGGTTGATTTTATCCCCAGCGAGTTATGAGTAGCTCCATAACACAAAATAATTTAAATAGTATGATTCATTCTATATTCTATATAGACTTAATTAAATCAAATTTCTCATCTCCTTCATGGGGGGCTTCAAATCCCTCCCATGCCTTAGGCTTTGGTTGCTTCCATTATATCAGCTATTTCTGCAAGTAATGACTGTGAATAAATTGTCAAAAATTGCTTGAGATAGTGCTTGCAGTTCTGGAGGGACTTGTTTAATTTTTGATTCTCATAGACTTAGCAGCATGGGGATTTGGTTAACCAGTTAAAATTCATGAGTAAGCCAGGTTTTTTTAACCTGAAAAATGGGGGGGGGGGGGTTGAACCCCTAACCACCACCACCACCCCTTGGCTACAGCCGTGCTTGCATAGCATGGCCCGACTTACCGGGCCAAAGAAGTTGCGGTGCAGGGTGTCCCCCACCGCCATTCTTGCCCGAGGGGGGCTTCTTCCTCCCAGAAGCCCCCTCTGATGGCGGGAAGAATTCCCGCCGGCGGGTCAAGGGGCCAATGGCCTATTGACCACGCCCACCACAGCTGAGGCCTGAGCCGGCCTCTCCCCCCTTTCGGGTCAGCCTTCATAAGGCTGCCCAGGCTCCCTGGCAGGCACTTGGCCTGCAACAGCTGATCGGGAGGAGCAGCAGCAGGAGCAGCAGCAGTGGCAGCAGCGGCGGCAGCGGCAGCAGAGGCAGCAGAGAACACGTTCTGTTCCACAGGACTCCATGCGCATGGCGCCAAAGAGGAATGCAGCTAGGAAGGCGGCCGAGACCTGGACAGCGGCGTTGACTCCAGCGCAGGCCACCAGGAGGAGCAAAAATGCCGATCCTTCGGGAGGACAGCCGGTGCCTGCCGAACCAGCAGCTAACYAGGCCTCTTCCAGGCGCGCGGCCAACCAGGAGGCCAAYGTTCTGGAAGGGATCTCTCAAAACATGGAAGGGATCTCCCAGAACATCGCCACCATCGTGAACAGGTTAGGTAAGCTCGAGTCAAAGGTATATTCCCAACCAGGCGAGGCACCAGCTTCCCAGCGAGGAAGGGACCACCAGCGAAGAAAGCGGGCGAGGCGCAGAGAGAGTGACGAAACCACCTCAGCTGACTCGGGGCCTAGTGATCAGGCATCCAGCGAGACAATATCTAGCAAAGAGGAGGAGGAGGTTTCACCAAGACCCTGGCACCATCATTGCAGGAGCAAACCGAAAGCAAAGAGGTGTAGGTCTTCCAAGCGCTGTCACCGCTACTCATCAGACAGCGACTCTTCGGAGGGTGAGTATGCCCTCGCTGACTCAGTAGACAGGGATAATTACTGGAGGTCGGAGGCCCTTGTGCCGGGTCTCCCTGAGCGGGCCATCAAGTGCAGGTCAGAGACTAGCGAAATCATCGACCCCCCGTGCAGGGCGTGGGAGCGGGGYAAGCCCCCCACTCCTGCCCTTCCCCCTCCTTTTCAGGACAACGAGGACCCACCCGGCACCCACCTCTCCCCTCGCCTCCRGAGTAAGATCCTGAGAGGCTATTACGTTGACTTATTCACCCTGCTCAAGCCACTGGGGGAAGAGGGCCGGGAACCCCCTTCCAAGAGCAGGCATCAGAAGAGGGACAGGGGCAGGCCAGCCGAGCGGACATTCGCCAACTGGGTGGCCGGTTACTCAGAGTTCGTGGGGGTGGTGATAGCAGCTTTTCCCGAGCGGGGGTGGCATCTGAACAATCACCTAAGGCACGTAGCCAGGGCCAGAGAGCTGGCGGGCGAGGCGGCTGCCATTGCCTATGACACAGCCTTCAGAAAAAGGGCATCCCAGAGCGCCAGAGCCAGATGGGACCTCATAAATCACGACATCTGGCTCACCGAGGTGGGGCCCAGCATCAGAGGTAAGCCGGAGTCTAGGAAGCCAGACAGGGCATGGGGCAAGCGAGACTCCAAGAGGGCAGTTTGCTGGGAGTTTAACCACCACCACCACCCCTTGGCTACAGCCGTGCTTGCCTCGAAACCACGCAGCAACGAGAGCAACTGGTCTTGCAAACCCTTTTATAGTGCTGAGGCAACGAGGATATTGGGAGGGGAGAGGCTGACTACCTACAATAGATTACTACTACCACATCAACTCTAGATTATTAAATATGGTTTTCTGTGGGTGAGCAGATGACGACTACTGGATAGCATGTGTTCTGTATCAGAAACTAGAGCTGATGTGGTCTATCCAATAGAATTTTCTGAATTAGTATCCCAAATAACCAAACTGAATCTAAAGTTGACAAAAACTGATTAATAACCCTTTTGGTACTAATGTTGGAGAGTGGTCCCTGGTCAAATAAAGGTTGGGAACCACTGATGTAGTGTAATAGCGTCCTTTATGTGCTCCTGATGGCGTGCCATAGGTATATTGGTGGGCCCTAAGCTGTGAACTGCAATAGACAGAAGGTTAAACCAACCCTTTTCATTTGATTCAATACATTCTACTGTTATTGACTTTGCAATAATTTTATTTCTTGTTGTGAGAACTTTGTTATTACAAAGGAGACTACAAATACAAAAAAGGCAGGAATAAATACACAGATATTTGGGAGAGGTCAACATAAGAAAAGACAACAGTCACTTTGTTTTGTTAGAAGGGAGACCGAGCATCTGTAAAGGGCAATGTTTTATTTTTCTTTCAGGCAATGTCTTATGAACAAACACTGGGACAATAATGGAACATCAATAGTACTGCAAGTATAACACCATCAGGGAATCCTTCTGAAATCGCAGAAACTGCAAATTTTTCATGAAGAGCATGCTTTTTTCAAATATGCAATGAGATCTGCTCTCTCGTTCTTCTTTTTAATGCCAGCAAAAACCATTTTTGTTCCAGGAATGTATTTCTTTGGGTCCTCCAAATATTCCATTAATGTAGTTTCACTCCAGACAATACCTGCAACATTTAAAATGTGATAAAATATATATTTCCCACTCTATTAATGCCAGACCAGTGGCTTTATGTTTCAATATATCCTGACAGACTTCAAAATCCTTTGGCTCATAAATATGGAAATAAATTTGTATAGCTATCCATTAAAATCAAAACCTTAAAAAAGAGGATACAAAAAATCAAGCACAATCTGTTTTAAATTATTATTTGAACATATTTAATATGTAGTACATACAAGCTAGCTGAGATTCATAAACGGATGCCATATTTCATGAGGAAACACATCTTTGCATCTAGATATGGAGCTTAAGAAGAAAAAGATATGCCAGATTTGTTTTTTAATGTATCTTCTCTTTAAAAATAGCCATTGTAATTGTTATTTTCTTAGCTATGGAAAAAAATATTTTCTGAACATAGATGAAAGTAAATTAGCAAGTGAGAATCATCTTATCGTTAATCCTTTAATTCTTTCAATTCCTCTTCATGTAGTCTTCTCGGACAAGTTGTATTAAAAAGGTAAAGGTTTCCCCTGACATTAAGTCTAGTTGTGTCCAACTCTGTTGGGTGGTGCTAATATCCATTTCTAAGCCGAAGAGCCATCTTTGTCCATAGATGCCTCCTAGGTCATGTGGCCAGCATGACTGCATGGAGTGCTGTTACCTTCCCGCAGAAGTGGTACTTACTGATCTACTCTCATTTGCATGTTTTCGAACAGCTAGATTGGAAGAAGCTAGGGTTAACAGTGGGAGCTTACCCCACTCCCCGGATTCAAACCTCCAACCTTTTGGTCAGCAAGTTCAGTAGTTCAGTGGTTTAACCCGCTGCGCCACCAGGGTTGTATTATCTTTGTCTTAATAAGAGACTGCAGGTGTACAGATGATGCTGAAGCATTCCTTACGACTTGGTTGTTTGGTAATATGATTTGGCCTATCATATTATGGCTAATTTGCAGTCATCTCTAGCTATGGTAATGCATACCTTGAATACAACAAGTATGGACCACTCATCACACTCTACCTGGGGCTACCTTTGGAAACTGTTCAGAAACTTCAAATCGGTCTAAAATGCTGTGGCCAGATTACTGACTTCGGCCAGCTACAAGGAGCATGTACCTCACTTCTTAAAAGAGCCTCACTAGCTATTGGTTCATTTCTGTCAGAGTTTTAAGATCTAAAAGAGAGAGCTTTCTCTGAATCCTTCCGTATCACAGGCTTATTTGGTGAGGACATGAAAGGATCTTTCCATTAGCAGCTCTCACCCTCTGTGAGATATTACACTGACCCCCTCCTTTCTTTTGCTAACAAGCAAAGACTTTAATTTAAATACATTTTAGATATGTAGTTGTTCATGGGGAGGGGTGGAAGTGCTTTATTTTAACAATTTGAATGCCTTTGAAATAATTTCAGAATGTTTGAATTTGATAATTTAGTTTTTTAATTGTTGAGTTCCATTGGGTCCCAATCCAGGAGAAAGGCAGCATGTAAATGGAAAAAAAAATAAACAGACAAGCAATTGTTGTTGTCATTCTCCTTGACCCATTTGTTTATGTCAGTGTCGACAATACATTGCTGTTTTGTTTTCTATTGCAACAACATCTATGTATGTATTCTCTACATACATAGGAGATGCAAACTGAAATGCCTTCCCTATAAAAGCCAATTCATTCACTGAGCAGCTCATCTGAAGTGCCTGGAGTGTGTTAGATGCTGAGAAAAACCTTTTAGTGGTGATTATGCATTTCTGGAATGCCATCTTCAAGAAAGCTTATCCACTAACTGTACTGATGTCATTCTGACGATAAGCAAAAATGCTTCTGTCCTATTTTTTTTATCAGTCGACCTTTTATTTTACGTATTTATTTTAGAACACATGTTCCTTTTCCAATGTCATATATTTGTTGCAGCTCGCAGCAACTAAATAACCTCATAGCATAAACAAACATAGAAGTTTATTTTATTTTCCCTTACTTTCAACCAAATGTGCTTAGGAATACAAACTCATATTAAAAAGTGATGCTCATACATGTGGAAATAACAAAAAGTAACCCCCTTGCAAGTTCTCTCCAACTAACTTTCCCTTGCCTTAAGCTGGGCACTTGAGACTGCCAGGGAAATGAGATCCTTGCCATACAAAAGGGGCACAGGCAACTTTCATTTAGCCTTGTTAGAGCAATACATTCAAATGTAAACAAAATAAAACTAGAATCCCAGTTCTAACTATCTGCTTTTGACTATTACAGTGCTAAACAATCTCAATGCAGATTAAAAACCGTGTAGTGCGATGCATAGTTTGTGAGAAGGATTTCTAGGCACAAATTCCTGCTGAGACATAAAACTTACTAGGGGTGTAGCTACGCAATGGAATTTATATTTATTTATTTCCCATATTTATACCCTGCTCTTCTTATCCCAAAGGGGACTAAGAATGGCTTCCAGATTGGCCATTTCAGTGCCACATTACAATACAAAAAATATATAAAATACAACACATTAAACATCAACAAAATAAACATACAAATACATAAACTGTTAAAACCTGTTAAAACCATATAGCTAAAACTGTGGGCATCCTTTATACAGTTTGCCACCTCTTTAACTTCCATGACTTAATGCTATGGAATCATGAGGAATGTGGTTTTACAAGGGGCCTTTCCACGCTGCCTTATATCCCAGAATATCAAGGTAGAATAACCCAGTTCAAAGCAGATATTATGGGATTTTCTGCCTTGATATTCTGGGATATAGGGTTGTGTGGAAAGGCCAAATGTCTCTGACCTTGGTGCTTCGGCAGGATTCCATATCACTGAGCCACAGCACTTATTGTGCTGTCAAACTGCATTCATTCATATGCTACTCTGCTGCTGAGTATGCATGCCCAGTGTGGAACACATCTCACAACGCTAAAACAGTGGATGTGGCTCTTAATGAGACTTGCCGCATTATCTGCACCCTACACCACTGGAAAAATTACACTGTTTAGCCGGTATTGCACCACCTGACATCCGCCGGGAAGTAGCAGCCAATAGTGAAAGGACCAAGGCAGTGACATCTCCAGCTCACCTCCTGTTTGGATATCAGCCAGCACATCAATGACTTAAATCTAAGATCTACAGACACTCACTGGAACACCTCAGCAAGCGAGAGTCCAAAAGTGGCAGGCTCAAATCCAGAACCTCAACCAATGGCTGATACCAAATAAGAGACTCCCCCCTGGGCACACAGAAAACTGGGCGACTTGGAAGGCACTGAACAGACTGCACTCTGGCACTACGAGATGCAGAGCCAACCTTCAGAAATGGGGCTACAATCCATGACATCCATGACATGAGAGTGTGGAGAAGAGCAGACCACTGACCACCTGCTGCAATGCACCCTGAGCCCTGCCACATGCACATTGGAGGACCTCCTTGCGGCAACACCAGAGGCACTCCAAGTGGCCAGAAACTGGTCAAAGGACATTTAATCAACTACCAAGATTGCAAACTTTGTGTTTTGTCTGTTTGTTTGTTAAAAAATCCAACACAACTGTTGGTCTGCTCCTGACACGATAAATAAACAAATAAATAAATAAATAAATACAGCATTCATTCTACAGTGTAGATCTACCCTAGGTGTCCCTGTACTAGTTATAATTTCTCACTTAACCTATTATATAGATTTGTTATCAGGATGTATTGCACTTTTGGAATCCTCCAGAAAAAGGACATAAATGTTGTCAATAGCAACAGATAGGTTTTAGAACTGCTTGCTGCTAAAAACTATGTTCTCATGCCCACCTTCATAACACCTGCTGTGCATATTTATACTACACAACTAAGTCACGGAGTTGTGTGCAATCATGTCCTATTACCACTTGAATGGGCATTGTTGGTGGATAAAATGCTCCCTCCAATTACAGGTACCAACCATATGGAGCACATATGGAGTAGGAAGTGAATGATCGGGTAATAGGGACTTAATCAAACAAAAATTATATGTTCTGTTATCAGAAGAACAGTGTTTATACTGTTTCTCCCCTCAAAAAACAAACAAAACAAAAGTAGTTATAAATATTTCAGTTAAGTTTATCTAATGGCAAGATCCATTGTATTCAATGAGATTTAAAATCTGATGCAACTAATAAAATGTGTCTCAAGAAAACATCTGAAGCATTTCTATGGGATCATAGAGTTGGAAGAGACCTCATGGGCCATCCAGTCCAACTCCCTACCAAGAAGCAAGAAAATTGCATTTAAAGCACCCCTGACAGATGGCCATCTAGACTCTGTTTAAAAGCCTCCAAAGAAGGAGCCTCCACCACACTCTGGGACAGAGAGTTCCACTGCTGAACAGCTCACACAGTCAGGAAGTTCTTCCTAATGTATTGTCGAAGGCTTTCATGGCAAGAATCATTGTTGTAGGTTTTTTTGGGCTATATGGCCATGTTCTAGAGGCATTCTCTCCTGACGTTTCGCCTGCATCTATGGAAAGCATCCTCAGAGGTAGTGAGGTCTGTTGGAACTAGGAAAAAGGGTTTACATATCTGTGGAATGACCAGGGTGGGACAAAGGACTCTTGTCTGCTGGAGCTAGGTGAGAATGTTTCAACTGACCACCTTGATTAGCATTTGATGGCCTGGCAGTGCTTGGGGCAATCTTTTGTTGAGAGGTGATTAGATGTCCCGGATTGTTTCCTCTCTGTTGTTTTGCTGTTTTAATTTTAGAGTTTTTTAAATACTGGTAGCCAGATTTTGTTCTGAAATACTGAAATACAAAATTAAATGTTACCTTAATAGAAAGCATCTGCTCTATGTCAATGTTTCCTCTGGGACAATCTGGAATATCTAATCAAGGTGGTCAGTTGAAACATTCACACCTAGCTCCAGCAGACAAGAGGCCTTTGTCCCACCCTGGTCATTCCACAGATATGTAAACCCTTTTTCCTAGTTCCAACAGACGTCACTACTTCTGAGGATGCTTGCCATAGATGCAGGCGAAACATCAGGAGAGAATGCCTCTAGAACATGGCCATATAGCCCGAAAAAAACCTACAACAACCAAAGTTCTTCCTAATGTTCAGGTGGAATCTCCTTTCTTGTAGTTTGAAGCCATGGTTCTGCGTCCTAGTCTCCAGGGCAGCAGAAAACAAGCTTGCTCCCTCTTCCTTATGACTTCCCCTTACCTATATGAAAGTAGGTACTGCTGGCCCTCCATTTTTGCAGAGGTCAGGGGCATAGAGCACCAAGTAAATGTGGAAAAACCACACAAACAAAATCCCATTTTTTTCTCTCTGAGATAACACATCTCTAGGAATTTCTATGACCTCCAGGACAACTCTATGTTCAACTTTGTAACAAGATTTTTTTGTTCCTGGGTTATAAATGTCATTTCCTAATTGGTTCTATCATAAAAACATGGAAAACGTGTATTAAACTGCAAAACTTTGTTATTACAGGACATCCTGCAGCACATTTTGCTGTAGTTTTTCAATGAGTATCTCACAGAATCTCAAGCAATTCAACATAGTTTCAAAGTAAGTACCACACAACTGAACAGGCAATAACACTTTCAAACCAGGAACAGAAAACTTTTCATACTTCGTTACATACTGTTATCTGGCCACCTCAGATTGCCTTTAAGATGCTGCAAACTACTATAATACGATTCGTCCTGCTTGCCTCCCTAAGTGATGCCATGAAAGGGCTTAATGCTATTTTCACATTGGTGTTGGGTCACACAGACACTCTTGAGCTTGTCTCACAGGTATGAGTACAATACATGAATGGGCCAAGAGTCTTGTAAAGTGCAAGTTATTAAATATAAATCACATATATAAATCACTATAGCTTCATCTGAGATCACTGAGCAATATTTACTTATATAAATTAAAAGACACCCCCCTCCCTGAATACAACTACAAGATTTGATTTGACTTGACTTGCAAAGTGATATTTTACTTTGGACCAAATTTATTAGGAGTACAGTCATTACACAACTGATACTGAGCTAATGGTTTTGAGAAATTTCCTTTCCTCTCAATGGTTCCCAACCTTTTGCCTTTCCCATACTTCATTTTTACCTTTATTCTTGTTTGCATCTGAATAAGAAAATCCGGCAGACTGTCCTGTTTTACGGCCAAAGAGTCCCCAAAGATTTGGCCCCACCTTGTGCTTTCCACCTTTTTCCACCGTGTGACACTGCGAACACTTTTGAACAAAGATCTTTTTACCTTTCTCAACATCACCCATGATCACCTATGAAAAAGAAATTAGCAGAAATTAGCATGATTTCTTTAAAACAATGCACTCTTTTTATCGTATGTTTTCATAACTGTGTTATAGTTGTCTAACAGTCTCTATCCTCCTCCACCCTACCTACACCACATACAAATGCTCACCCGGCTCCGATTTATTGCTTCAGCACACTTTGGAGGAACCCTCTCCCCTATGAAATACTGATATAGGCTGGATCTATACTGCTATATAATCATTTCTGATTCCAGGTTATCTGATTTGAACTGGATTATATGGTAGTGTAGATCCAGCCATAGACATTTCCCTCCATCATTTCCATTACAATTGAGGGAAATGAAAATACAGTATACAGTAGGATGTTCATATTCATAGATCCAGGACTGAAAGTTCATTTATCCATGGCCCATTTTACACTGCCATAGAATCCACATTATCGAAGAAGATAATCCACATTATTTGCTTGATCTGGATTTTCTGAGTGTACGCTGCCATATAATTCAGTTCAAAGAAGATAATCTGGATTTTATATGGCAATGTAGAAGGGGCCCATGATTGACAAAATATAACCTGCCTAGTCCCCCTGGTGGTGCAGCGGGTTAAACTGCTGAGCTGCTGAACTTAGAATCATAGAGTTGGAAGAGACCTCATGGGCCATCCAGTCCAACCCCCTGCCAAGAAGCAGGAATATTGCATTCAAAACACCCCTGACAGATGGCCATCCAGCCTCTGTTTAAAAGCTTCCAAAGAAGGAGTCTCCACTACATTCCAGGGCAGAGAGTTCCACTGCTGAACAGTTCTCACAGTCAGGAAGTTCTTCCTCATGTTCAGATGGAATCTCCGTTCTTGTAGTTTGAAGCCATTGTTCCGCATCCTAGTCTCTTGCTGACCGAAAGTTTGGTGGTTCAAATCCGGGGAGCGGGGTGAGCTCCCATTGTTAGCTCCAGTTCCTGCCAACCTAGCAGTTCAAAAGCATGCAAATGTGGGTAGATCAATAGGTACCGCTTCAGTGGGAAGGTAGCAGCGCTCCATGCAGTCATGTTGGTCACATGACTTTGGTGGTGTCTACGGACAATGCCAGCTCTTCGGCTTAGAAGTGGAGAAGAGCACCATTCTCCAGAGTCGGACTTGATTAGACTTAATGTCAGGGGAAACTTTTACCCTAGGCACCACTGCAACTTTTTGGTATTCTTAAAGCAGAAGTTGTTAACTTTAATAGAGTTCACTGATATCTGCATTTGTGGGTATCCATGCAAAGGCTAGGAATGTTTCCCTTGCAGATAAAGGAACCATACTGTCATTAAGAGAAGGAGCTTATCTCCACTTTGATTTCCCATCACTAGAAGGCTCTGCTGGTTTTCTGACTTGAGCCACTCTCTGCTTACTGGGCACTGTGTGCTATTGCTAGGAGGTGTGCTGCGTTTCCTCATTGCATACTGCAGGCTTTCATCCAGGGAATGTCCCCTAGTTGACTGCCAAGGGAGCACTTCAGGTATGCTACCATCGTTTTCTCAGGCCAGGATCCTTTGGCTGCTGCCTTCCTCTTCCTCACTCAGAATACTGAGAAATTTAAGCCAGCTGACTCAGATCTCAGCCCTTCCGTGGGTTCCTGATTATTGGATCACTTGATCAGCAAGAGGAACATCCTTCCCCTTAAACCCATTCACTTCGATACAGTGATCCACCGATCTAATGAAGGTTTATGTTTTGGATTTGGAATTATAAATTCCCACATGAAATAGAGAATTTTTTAGCATATTGTCAGCATGCCTGCTAGAAATCTGTGAAAAAATTAGAAGCCACACTTTTTTATTTGAAAAGGAGATGGTCTTTTCATTCTTCCTTCTTAAACCATACACACAAGTAAGTATAGAAGGAGATCCAATACTGAGACTATTCTCTCTTGACCCAAAACAAAACATCCAGGATTTTTGTTTACTGGGGAAAGTGAAATATGTTTGTGTCGGGGGCATATTTGGTTTGGATAGCGTAATTCCTAGGAAATGGAGGTGAAAAGGTTTTTGATTGCCAAATAAGGCATTATTTTTAGGGGAAGACCTATAACTATGGGAAACTTGCTTTAGAGAGTCATGTATGGTTGTTTATATACAATTATGCTAGAAGTCTTGTAAATAAAATGGGTGGAGTACTGGGTTTTATGACATGAAAAACAGAAACGTTGTGGGGTGGAGAAAATGATTTGTGATAGTGAGGTGAAGCTCCACCCTGCTGGCTATCTTAATTCTTGATGCTGTTGAGGCACAAATACGCTTCTTAACATCATTATCTAACGTATTGGATGGAACTTTTCCAGACAGTGCTTTGGCCAAGGAACCAGCTTTTGCCACCCTTTGACCCCATCCACACTGCTATATAATACAATTCACCTGCATTCTGAAATTGCATTGTATGGCAGTATAGATGGGGCCTCGGCCTTGCACTGGTCAGGGAAGGCATATGAGGCATGAAGCCAGGTGTATTGAGTCAGTTTCTGGATCCAGATTATCTGCTTTGAACTGGATTATATGAGTCCACACTGCCATATAATCCAGTTCAAAGCAAATAATCTGGATTCAGAAACTGGATTATATATCAGTGTAGATGGGGCTGGTCCCAAGCATTCTGGCCAAGTGATAACCCACTGTATTACATAGTACAGCTTGGTCAGGACCCACTTCTTTTGGTTGTTCTAATTGTGAAGTGCTGCTTTATATAAATAAACAATGGTTGAGCCCCCTGTGGTGCAGTGGGTTAAACCCCTGTGCTGGCAGGACTGAAGACCGACAGGTGGCAGGTTCGAATCCAGGGAGAGGCGGATGAGCTCCCTCTATCAGCTCCAGCTCTCCACACAAGGACATGAGAGAAGCTTCTCACAAGGATGATAAAACATCAAAAACATCCAGGCAACATCCTTGCAGACGGCCAATTCTCTCATATCAGAAGCGACCACCGTCTCCCAAAGCAGTTGCTCTACTCTGAACTCAAGAACGGAAAACGTGGGCAGGAAAAGAGATTTAAAGATGGGCTCAAAGCCAACCTTAAAAACTGTGGCATAGACACTGAGAACTGGGAAGCCCTGGCTCTTGAGTGCTCCAGCTGGAGGTCAGCTGTGACCAGCAGTGCTGTAGAATTTGAAGAGGCACTAATGGAGGGTGAAAGAAGCGTGCCAAGAGAAGGCATGTCAAGCCAACCCCAACCGAGACGACCTTCCACCTGGAAACCAATGCCCTCATTGTGGGAGAAGATGCAGGTCAAGAATAGGGCTCCGCAGTCACCTACGGACCTACTCCCAGGACACTGATCCTGGATGACTATCCTACTCGGCCAACGAGGGATCATCTAAGACAAAAAGGATATGTATTGTCGAAGGATATAAATTGAACCATTATATTAAGAACTGGAGACTTTTCAATGGGCTTAAACTGGGAACAGGCCGACCTATCTCTCCTGCGGCCTACCTTAAGTCCAGCTTAGAACTAGGCCCTTTCCTAGGCTGCCTGCTCCTCTTCCCCAAGCCACACAAACCCATCCCCTAGGAGGCGCTGATGTGACAAGGAAGAAGGGAAAATTGCGTCACAATAGAGTCGCCCAATCACAACCTAAAGCCCTGACGTTCTGACAGTTGATTGGCCCGCTTAGAAAACCAAGCATGCCCTTAGTGTTAGGGTTACTCTTAGTGCTCAGGGGAGGCTGCGTTAGACAGTCTGTCGAGGGAAGGTGTCCTCGTGCTCGAAAGGGCGCCTCGCGCCTTCCACACAGCCAATGAGAAGTGGAGCAAACTTATTGACCAATGATAGCTCGTTCTATTGCCAGATCCCCGCCTCCTTTGCTTTCTGCTTTAGCTGGCGGTGAGAATGGTGGTGTCGCTTTCCCGGTTGTGGCCACTAGGGGTCGCTGTAGTTTCTTGAGCGGGTTAGAAACAGGAAAGGGTTTGACTATAGAGAAGGCTTCCGAAAAGGAACCGGAAGTAGGCAGTGGCTGAGAGGTTTACCAAACTTGGTCCTTCTCCTGGAACTCAGGGCGTCTTCGTTTCTGGACGAAGCCATCGGCGATGTAATCATTTCCAGTTTTAATTATTAGTTACTCTAGTAAGTCAGATAAGTCATGAAGGAACAAGAAATGTTCATAAAATAAGAAAAGTAGCAAAGCGGGTTGACAGTGCTTATGAAGAGGTTGAAGGGGATTGGCTGTTGCTAGGTGGCAAGTGTAAGGAGAAAGGAAGGAAAGAAATAAAAATAAGGGAAAGAAAAGGAAGCGAAAGTAAAGGGGGAAAGGTATGAGGGAAGGGAAGGAAAAAGGAAGGCAAGAATGAAGGTTTGAAGGGAGGTGAGAAAGAAAAAGAAGAGGAAGGAAGGAAGTCACAGGGAGGAGAAGGCTGAAGAAGAATGTGTCCAAAGGAGGGCGACTAAAATGATCAAGGGTCTGGAGAACAAGCCCTATGAGGAGCGGCTTAAAGAGCTGGGCATGTTTAGCCTGAAGAAAAGAAGGCTGAGAGGAGATATGATAGCCATGTATAAATATGTGAGAGGAAGTCACAGGGAGGAGGGAGCAAGCTTGTTTTCTGCTACCCTGGAGACTAGGACGCGGAGCAATGGCTTCAAGTTACAAGAAAGGAGATTCCATCTGAACATCAGGAAGAACTTCCTGACTGTGAGAGCTGTTCAGCAGTGGAACTCCCTGCCCCAGAGTGTCGTAGAGGCTCCTTCTTTGTCGGGGGTGCTTTGAATTCAATTTTCCTGCTTCTTGGCAAAATGGGGTTGGACTGGATGGCCCACGAGGTCTCTTCTAACTCTAAAAAGGGGGAGCTGTAGGAGGGAAAACAAAGGAAGGAGGAAAGGAAGAAAAGGAAAGAGAAGGTGTGCCAGGGAAATGGAGGAAGGAGACAAAGGGAGCCTGCCCACCCTTGTCAATGTTGCCATGGAGACATTGTTGATCTTTTCAGAGCAGGGAGAAAGGGAGAAAGCAGGTGGCCAGTGGCCCCTCTGATACCTGGGCAATGCCAGGTATATACAGGGTGAGGCAGCATAACTTCCTTTTTTCAAAACTTAATAAAACCCATTGTATGAATCAGAATTTTTAAAAACTTTTTATAACGTAGGCGCATACCTAAACTTTTGTTTTAAGTAGTTTTGAAGATCAAATTAAGTAGGTGATGTCCCCCATTCTCCATACACTGAGTAAACCGATTTCTGGCATTTGTCATGACTCTTGCCAGCATAGCAGGCGTATGTTGGCAATTTCTTCCTGGATGTTGGTCTTCAAATCTTGTAGGGTCCTTGGACGGTTCACATAAACACGGGATTTCAAAAAACCCCATAGAAAAAAATCACAAGGGGCCAAATCTGGAGAGTGGGCCAGCCACTCCAAATCCGCTCGAAAAGTAGGCCTCAATGGCAAAAGCACGCTCCTCACTGTTCCAACGTATGATGGCGACTGAACTGTGTCAGGACAAAACTTTATACTACTGCCTCTCGAACGAGACCACGAGCGCTCCACTACGTCTTCAACCGATTGAATGGTGCGCATTTAAAAAAAGGAAGTTATGCTGCCTCACCCTGTATATGATAGTATTCTTTTATAGTTTAAATTATGTTTTCAAACATCAGGAAGCAATGACCCTAAACCACAAAGCATTTTTAATATGCCTTAGAGCAGTTGTTCTCAACCTGTAGGTCCCCAGATGTTTTGGCCTTCAACTCCCAGAAATCCTAACAGCTGGTAAACTGGCTGAGATTTCTGGGAGTTGTAGGCCAAAACACCTGGGGACCCACAGGTTGAGAACCACTGTTCTAGATTGAGGGAAGTCATGGTGCCTCTCTATTCTGCTTTGTTTAGACCTCACCTGGAATGCTATGTCCAATTCTGGGCACCACAGTTCAAAAGAGATGTTGACGAACTGGAAAGTGTCTAGAAGAGGATGACTAAAATGATCAAAGGTCTGGAGACTATGAATCCCTATGAGGAGCATCTTAAAGAAATGGGTCTGTTTAGCCTGCAGAAGAGAATGTTTTGAGGTGAAAGGGTGTCATAAGGAAGAGGGTGCAGGCTTGTTTTCTGCTGCCCTTGAAATTAGGACTCAGAGCAATGCGTTCAAACTACAGGAACGGAGATTCCATCTGAACATTAGGAAGAACTTCCTGACTGTGCGAACTGTTCAAAGTGGAACTCTCTGCCTCAGAGTGTGGTGGAAGCTCCTTCATTGGAAAATTTTAAACATAGGCTGGATGGCCATCTGTCAGGGATACTTTGATTGTGTTTTTCTTGCATGGCAGGGGATTGGACTAGATGGCCCATGTGGTCTCTTTCAGCTCTATTATTCTTTTATTCTAGAGCTCCAGGCCTTGCTGTAGCCCTGGCAAAGGCAATTGTATTGAAGTTTTGGGTCACACAGTCTCCCAAGAAAACACCCTTCGATGTGCTACTTTCAGTGGCTGGTTTGCTTATTTATCCGGATGTGATCATCTTCTTTCTGCATCTGCCTTGGATAAGCAATGTTGTAAAGGGAATTATTTTTGGCCCTCTAGATTGTTTAGCTTCATCTGACCCCTGAATCCTTTGAAGAACAAGTCTTTATGAATAGTCTCAAACCCACGAAGCACCAGAAAGCAGCCTGATTACTTTGGGTGGGTGAGGGGGAAAAGCATACCATTGTGTGTAAGTTGCAGTTCTGATACACATTTGCAAAAATCCTTCTTTTTTGCTTGCTTCATTAAGGTTATCTAAAGAGATTCAAATATTTATGAATAAAAGTATACAATCCACTTGATTTATCTTTTTTTTCAGGTTACAAGAACATTTCATTTGGGCCAATGAGAACCCTATCTAAATGAAATATTCGTAATTATTTTGTGAGTAGTACAAGCCAGGAAGTGCAAGAGCACAGGATGTTTGCTTCCGTTAGGAAAGACAATTTTTCAGGTGAGCATTTATGTATAAAATATTGAAAATGATATTATTTCATAGAAATCCATGGGAGATGCTTTATTATTATTATTATTATTATTTACCACTACTGCTACTATTACTAGCATATATCCCTGCCATTGCCTGGGTGTTGTTGGGACCGCTGCCTCTCTCCTCTTTTCCAGCTCTGAGAATGTCTACCTCACAGTGTCTTCATTGCAATGCTCTATCAATGGTTGGCAGACTCTTTGTGGCTCATTCTTTTCTTCCTCCATTTCCCTCATACTCCCTGTCCCTTTCTCGTTTCTTCCTTTTCTTCATTCTTCCTTTGCTTTCCCACCCTCCTTCCCTCCCTTTTTTCCTTCTTTCCCTCCTTTTCTTCTTTCTCTTTCTTTCCCTCATACCCTTTCCATTCTCTTCTGTGCTTCCTTCTTTCCTTTTTCTTTCTTTCCCCTCACTTCTTGCTTTCTCCTTTATTTTATTTCCCTGCTTGTTCACTCCCTTCCTCCCTTTCCTTTCCAAATTATCTGCTTTGAACTGGATTATATGGCAGTGTCGACTCATATAATCCAGTTCAAATCAGATAACGTAGATTATCTGATTTGATAATCTGGATTAGATGGCAGTGTAGAAAGGGCCTTAGAGGAGAGCTGAGATCCATAAGCATGCTGTCTGAAATTCAGGACAATGAAATGATTTTCAATAAAGATTGTGAAGAGATCACAGACAAAACAAAGGAAATAATTTTGTCCTTACAAATAACAAGGAAGGTTTTGGCCCCTTGATTTAGCTTAGTGGCTTTTTATGGCAGGATCTATGCAATATTGCAAGTAAAACTTAGCACAAGAGAAGACCTATCAAGTGAGTGTGAATGCTGTAGGAATGGGCCCTGTTTCCCCCAAGGCTATGGGCTGGGTAATTTAAATGTACCTTGGTGCATTCTTTGGTTGAATAGTACTTTGGCAATTTGATAAACTTTTGCATGTTTCTCAAACTCCAGGGTGAATCTCCCTTTAAATTTTCAGTGGAGGAAGCACTTACAGCTTAGTTCAACAATAAGCATTTTTGGCCTCACTGTCTTTTCTATCAGGTTCCCATGTTGCTGCTTTAAGTACAGAATAGCCCCTTAAGCCAATTTGTTATGACAAAATTGATTCTTTGTGTGAGTATGAATAATATTGATACAGGCCAACATGCAGGCTGTGATCCTAATTAGTTTCCTGTGTTTCCTTTAGAAAGACTGTCAGAGCCTGCAGATCTGGAAAGAAGGGATGCCAAAAGCCAGACTTTTGTTTCCAGGCGCTTATCAGTGGAATCACACTTACCAATTGCACAAACGCAGCTGTTTCACCTTTTTAATCTCATCCCAGGATTGGAATCTTGTGAAGCTCATCAAAGTGTTTACAATAACCATAGTAATGAAACACATCTAAATAGCCTTCTGTGTAAAATGTGTGTCTCAAAATTGTTCAGACCATTGAGAATGAAATATTTTGTTGGAAAGTCATAGCACTGCTGCGAGATAATCATATGATACATATGATATATGAGAGATTCTGCTTTCTTAGCATAAAAAGCAGGGACTTTGAGGTACCCTCCCCAGGAAGATCAGGCTAGCACTCTCCCTATCCACGTTTCGTAAGGAACTAAAGATGTGGATGTTGCGTCGTGCATTTGATTAGACAATTCCCTTAACAGTTGGCTCTAACCATAGCCTAAAATTATGTCCCTGCACTTTACCACTGCGCTATTCAAAGCCATAATGACCCTGTTGTAACTGCTCTTATCCTTACGCTGCAATTTGACCTATGCATCTTATTGACTAGCATGTTTTCTAATTTTACACACCAGCCCACCCTCCCTCCCACAATGAGACTTGAGGTATATATTTGGTTGTTGCTTATGATGCCTGTTTAATTTTTTTGTTTTTGTTTTTTAGAATAAGTCATTTTTATTGAAAGTTAAGCAAGACAAACAAACAAACACACATATAAGTAAACAATATCTACAACAGTTGAGGGTCGTATGTTTCCCTCTGTATATATTAAGTCCATATCACCTATATGTGTATGGCTTCGCATACGATATTTCCTGTCAGTATACATACCTTCTTACCTAACAAATACAACAACAAATGCCCCAAACAAACAGATAACCCCCATCCACCTCCATACAATACAGTGCGACACAGATATACATAAATTCCCTTTGACTTCCAGGATCTTCAAGTGATCATGTGTTTTATTATTGCTATAACTTTCTTTTATGTTGTCTTACACTGTTGCTACATTTTTACATGCTAAGTTTTTAACTCTTTGTGATTGGGCTTGGTCCCATGTAAGCCGCTCCGAGTCCCTTCAGGGAGATGGAGGCGGGGTATAAAAATAGTTGTTGTTGTTATTATTATTATTACCATGTACTATTGTTTTCCAATATCTTTTTGACATTTTTATTTTTATATTACTACAGTACTCTTTCTCCACAGTGTTGTTAGTAATTTAAAGACACTATCATAATTGGTATTGCAGCAGTGTTTTATTGCTCAATGGGACTTGATTATTTCCATTCTTAAGAAACATTTTTGTTCATTCTTAGGCTATGCAGTGGTACAGTACAGTCGTATTGCATCAGCTATCTATGCCAAACAAAAACTACATGGCTTTGAATTTTCTTTTGGAAATCGCCTGGCTATTTCTTTCATTGAAGATGGAACAGACGAAACTGAGTAAGTATCCACTCATAGAAAATTAAATACACTCACTCTTGACTGATTTGACTGAATTTTAGTGGACTTTTTTTTCCTTTTAGAAAGCAATTTCCTAAATAGTATTTTGCATTTTACCTTTTTAATATACCTCTGTATTTTAGCTTTTAGCCTAGATTCTAATGATTTTAATGTGTAATGCTTTTATTAGACTGTACTCCATTTTCCTTATGCTGGTCTATGACTGCAATAAAGATTTGACTGATTGTGTTAGCCATTGTGATAGACCACTTTGTGTATATTTAGTTTAATAATGTTAGCATATGAAATATTTCTTATGAAAAAATCTTGTTTTGTCTTCAGCCTTGCTAGAGAAAGAGCAAAGCACTTGGTGACTTCACAACTGTTATCAAAGATTGAGAACAGTAACTTACATCCTCAACATGTAGGGTCAAATGCAAGTACCTTACTATTTTCCTGTTAAGTGGATATACCTGAAAGGCATATTTTTGCAGTTTTCATATCTGTGATCCTTATATTTCTAGTTCTTTCATAGATTGTTTTATTTGAATGTGTTTTCTATAGAAGTAATACAGTGTCTTTTAGATGAGAAATTGATGTTGTCTCTTACACTTCATGATAAGGCATGTAGTTTACATTTTAAGGTTCATGACATTGTCCCAAAAGTTGGTCAAAATTCAGCTAAGAATCTGGGGTGATACAAATTTTATACCAGGTAGAAATTCCATCTTCCATGGCTATTGCCATGGGTTGCTGTGCCCTGAATACAGAAATTATTGCAGATGTATTATTATTATTATTATTATTATTATTATTATAAGTATTTTTCCTTGATATTTCTCCTTCTCTAAACTCTTGTGTCTTCTGTCTCTCCACTCACTGGAAATCTGTTCTCGAGCAGAGTGTGCAGTTATCCTTCCAGTCTTGTCAAATGTATCCAGCCTGTTCCAGTATGAAAGACCTATGAACTGTGGCTTATTACGTGACAAGGAAGGGAAAATAAAATTATTAAAAGCATAGGAAAGCTAATACAGATTAGCATTAAAGCATTGCCTTGAATTAGACAGATATGGTTGGTGATCAAGCTAATGTGGTAAGGCAAGTGGTTTACTATTCATCTGCTCTATAAAAGGATTTTCACACACCACCACCCCATCTTGCCATGTTGTGAGGATTGAAGTCTTGCTTGTCTAATAGGACGGGAACCATTCAGTTCCTTGGGACCTGAGGTGGCGGCTTAGGAAGAGAGAATAAATATTATTTTTACCTTTATTTCTACCTTGTCTTTCTCCCCATGGGGACTCAAGGCAGCTTACAGCGACATGACACAACCCAATACATTAAAAAACACACGCCTAAGATAACATTTAAAAACAATTAAAATAAGTAAACGTTTCTGCCATGGATACAAGTTAAAATACTGTTAAGATACAATAAAATACTTGTACAATTGAAATTACATTCAAAACTAAATATCCCCCCCACCCACAACCTCCCCAGCAGAGTGCCCCTCAGTCTCCTCCAAATGCCTGTAAATAAGCCCATCACATTCATTCCCTATGCTTGTGTACTATATGAATTGAGTACTCTTCTGATTAATTGAATTGATACTTTTGCTGAAGTTTATAGCAACGGGACATTTGTATATTTATATTGATGGCACAAAAGGCCTTAACCTGCCTGCAGAAGGTCAGCAGGGATGGGGTGTCCTGGCCTCTCTTGGGAGGGAGTTCCACAGTCTGCAAGCAGCCACCAAAAAGGCCCTCTCCTGTGTTCCCATCAAATGCACTTGAGTGGGTGGCGGGACAGAGAGAGGGCCCTCCCTTTATAGTTTAATAGAGAGATGGTCCTTCAAATTAATCTGGACCCAGGGTTTGAAGGTCAAAACCAGCACTTTGAATTGTGCCCTGAAACTTGTTGGCAGCCAGTGGAGCTGTTGCAACGGAGGAGTTGTCTGTTCCATGTAGCCCCAGTTAGAAGTCTGGCTGCTGCTCTTTGGACCAACTAAAGTTTCTAACCACTTTTCAAAGGCAGCCCCATGTAGAGTGCATTGCAGTGGTCCAATTGGAATGGAACCAAGGCATGTACCATAGTGACTAGATCTGACTTCTCCAGGAACGGACGCAGTAGCTTTAAATGAGCAAAAGCACTGCTGATACCTGGGCCTCAAGGTTCATCAAATAGAGCATTAAAAAGTGTTGACAAATCTTAAAAGGCTAAAAGTAATCTCATGTGCAAAATGGGATGTTGAATAAAACCACTCCAGCAGAAGGCAGCAATTTATGATTTGTTGTAGAAACAGAGAAAAATAACCACTGAATTTTCAATGTGTATTACTGAAATCTTTTTTAGTGTGCACCCCATAGAATTCAAAATGAACCCGGTGATTGTGATGCCTCTTCCTTCCCTAGGAATCCCAGAGCTCTTGTCGTCTTGAAACAGATGCTGAGCTTCCATTAAGCAAAAAAATGAAAGCTCCCCCTGACTCTACGGTGCGAGAAAGACTTTTAATTTTGTTTGATCCCCGTCCCTTACCTCAGAACATCTTGGATAATGTGTTAAGGTGCGGTCTACTACTTCCAACTTTCCCTGCTACCAATCCCTAAAAGCTGTGCTAGACAAGGATGTATTTGATTGAGGTATTGAAGAATTATTTATAGTTTGGTTCTTTGCAAGTATGTAATATCTAAAAGAAACACAAGCATACTTGTTAACAAAGCCTCTGACAGAAGCTTTTTCCCCTAAAGTATTTTTACAGTTTAACTGCCCCTATTTCCCCCCTCATCCCGTGCCTAGATGAAAGTCCTATACCGGCATTGGCCCTGGGAGGAATAGAAGGGCAACTGAAACATGAATGTTCAGTGATGTTTGCAGCAACAATAAAATAATAATAAAGCTTGAACTGAAAAAGATTTTATTATAGCTGATCTGACTGAAGCTATGATTGTTTGCCTACAACAGTCAAAGGAAACAAGTGTTGCCTCCAGTACACTTTACTGAATATCTGTGAACAACAAATCAGAAGAGTGCAAATAAGCCTCTATCACTGACTACTCCTAACAAATTTCAAAAAGCCTAGATCTACAAGTTTGGACCCCCAAATAGAAATCATAAGAAAAGTGGGGGCTGGTGAAAGAAAACATCCTCCCAGTATGCGTTTTGGAGGAAGCTTTCAGGTGGTCTCTGTAAGGCTCACGATCTTTCACTATACTCATGCAAGACCTACACGACCTAATTCTTTCAATTTTGCTTGTGCATATTGTTAGTTTCAAAGAAAAACGTTCCTTAAACTTACTGATCTGTATTTTTGTGTGATTTATGAACCTGTTCTCAATTCTTTCCACGTTATTTCTGCCTCCGATACCAACTTTTCTGTTAAAATGTGTTGACATTTAATCCACTGTAAATTAGATCTTGAGACGCAGTTATCACAGTTACTCAAAATCAGGTTGTCTATATAAGTAGAACCTAGCCTGTTACCAATAAAATCTTGATAGCGGACTTCTTACTAGTATTAGTTGCCAACAAGACAGTTTTGTGACACATTTATTGCCTCACAGTTTGTATTAAACTGGATAAACTATTGTGCTTTGTTGTTTCAGTCGATTTGGAAATTTTATAAGTGCTTATATTATCCCTGGGGAAAATGTAGCATATGCCATGTTTGCGGACAGAGCGAGTGCCGCAGATGCTATAGCTACGTTACATGGAAAGACTGTAAACGAAGTGAAGTTGAAGGTGAGCCTAACTGATTTACCCACAGAGGACTCCCATAAACGTCAAAGAATGTTCTGACCCGAGGTAAGTAAGTGGGTATCAAGGGCCTGCTGTCTGTGATTGCGCATATATGTTATTTATATGACAGAACAATGTTTCTCCATCCAAACATTTAAATCAGGGACCATTACCTAATTACTACTAAATGTTTTGGACTATTTTAATCCTAACCATTGTCCACATGAGCTGGGAATGATGGGAATCATCCCCTCTTGTCTTTGTAGTGAAAATTGACAGGTGGTATTTTGCATAAAATTAAAATCACCCATGTTGTCATAACCAAAATCATTTATTGAGAAACAGTTTCAGTCACAGGGTTTATGACTTCTAGCATAATGTGCTGTCAAGCTAAAACGTGCAACATTTAATGGAATAAGCTCTGCAGTATGGATGGGAATAAAAAATTCCTTATGGGTGTTGTAAATAAGAATATACATTTTATACATTTTGAATGCATTAAAATTTGCGTAAAACATCCCATTGGAAAATTGCTATCTGTTATGGACTATGAGGCATCTGTTCTTTGGGTAAATGTTTTTTTTAAAACAACTACACATTTTTGTCATTTCTAAATGTGTATATTTTATTCTCTTTTGGCAGAATAGAAAATACCAACTGGACTAATACATTGCTGAGGATAGTGACAAACATTTTTTTGTGAAACCGATTTATCAGCTCACATTTTTTGAAAAAACAACCGTTCTCATTTGTCTTTAAGCATGACATTTTGTAAGCAAATCATCAGTCTAACCTGCAGACATCAAGTGCAGTGTTTGGTGAATTTAGGCTTCTAATATTAAAAGCCTCATGAAGGGGGGGGGGTGGTGGATGAATGACATTGTTAATTGCTGGTGGTTCTGCTAATCCTAAATAATACACAGACACTTTGGGTAAAAAGAGAGTATATAGTTCATATGCTATCTATCAATTTTTTAATATGGAAGACTGTGCTTGTAACCTTTGCCTACTCGTAGTTGAAATGTGTGGGGGTTTTTTAGAAAACTGTTTTCAGTTATATTTTACTTAATAAAAGTGGGAGTAGAATAAAGTGTTTTTCTTTAGTGCTGTTTCTTTCACTTCCGTAATGTCCTTTGTGGTCTCAGACCAGTCCTATATATTTCCACAAAGAGAGAGCAAGGCCCCAATACAATCTATCGTAAAATCCATATTTCAGGGCACATTATTAAAAAAAGTATGGCTGGTGCCTTCCCATCCCATTTCTCTTTGACAAACACAAAGATAGCATCATCTAAAATTTGAATGAGACTAAAAAATACAATATTGTGTCTGTTCCTAATGTTATATAATACTAGGGAATATTGCAAGGAACACCTAGGATGTACTGTACATACCTGAAGCCTCAGATAAGAATGAAACCTCTATTTTGATTATACCTAGGCTGAAAACATACCCTAACTAACATTCTAGGACATACAGCGTCCCTCAAACATTTCCATTCATTTGTCTCTAGGTCCTCCAGTGCTATTCCATGGTATGTTTGAGCTAGAAATATACTATAGAGCCAACCTGGGAGACCGAGAGATTCACAAACACTTCTAGTGGGAAGATTTTTTTAACGTTGTACATGAAATTGTGGGCCTTGAGGCAGTATTAAATTCTGGGACAATGCCTTTTCATAAAAATATAGATCAAAGCATTTCTATAAAATACACATTACTCGCGCAGGATAGAGACCAAAACACAGGACATGAGTTTAAGATTCATGCCAGAAGAGATGAGTCTTCAGTTGTGTCTTGTTCTAACAGTTCATTTAGCTCTATCGGCAACCTGTTCTACAGTCTTGGGGTGGCTGATGAAAAGGTCCTATGGTGGACGGTGGCCAGTCGAGTTCTGGTTGATTGAAGTAACCACCCCCAGAGGACTTCAGCGTGTGGGGCAGATTGTATGGGACAAGGTGTAGATAACCTGGACCCAAACCATATAGGGATGTAGGGCTTTAAAGGTTAACACCAACACACATATATACTTTGTCTGGAAACTAATTGGCAGCCAGTGGAGTGACGTTAGGATAGGTGTAATGTGCTTTCTCCTAGATGTTCCCATAACTAATCTTGCTACTGTTATTTTGAACCAGGTGGAATTTCCAAACTTGGTACAAGGGCAGCCCAGTGTAAAGCGCATGGCAGAAGTCCAACCTTGAGGTTGCCAGTGCATGCGCTACCATATTAAAGTCCCCCAAATTTGGAAGGGGCACAGCTGGTGGATCAGTTAAAGCTCCTGACTGTTGCATCTACCTGGGCTGACATTTGGAGAGACGGATCCAGGAGCACTCTCAAGCTGCAAACACAGTCTTTCAGGTGAAGTGTAGACCCTGTCTAGAACTGGGTGACACCTCCATCCCCTTAATGGCAAACACCCCTTAATGGCAAACACACTGTGTCATTGGTGGCGCAATGTCTTGTCTGGATTCAGTTTCAATTTGCTTTTCCCTCATTGCCTCATTTCCCCATTACCTCTTCCAGGCATTCATTCTGAAGAGACATGCTATCCTTAGCTGAAGCTGTAGGAGCCCCCGGTGGTGCAGTGGGTTAAACCCTTGTGCTGGCAGGACTGGTGTCTTAAAAGTCAGTGGTTCAAATCCAGGGAGCAGGGTGAGCTCCCATCTCTCAGCCCCAGCTTCACATGCGGGGACATGAGAGAAACCTCCCACGGGATGGAAACACATCCGGGCGTCCCCTGGGCAATGTCCTTGCAGCCAATTGTCTCACACCAGAAGTGACTTGCAGTTTCTCAAGTCGCTCCTGACACACACAAAAAGATGCTGTTTAGAATCATAATCCTATTGAAAGCAGATAATGTGGATTATGCGCTTTGATCATATGAATTATATGGCAGTGTTGACAGGGCCTAAAAAGTGTGTCACCAACATGTGAAATTTGGAGAACTGATCTACAGTAATAGTAAAGATTCAATGTCTTAAAAATATCTGCAAACCATGTAAAAATTAAACTGGGGACTTGACATTTATTTGTTTGTTTATTTAAAACATTTATATCCCACCCTTTTCACCCTGAAGGGGACTCATGGTAGAGCTCAACATTTATACGGCAAACATTCAACGCTGGAACATAAACTGTAAATATACATTAACACTAAAATCAATTATCTCCAGCTTAAAATCAATTGTTTAAACCAGGAATGAGCAAACTTCGGCCCTCCAGGTGTTTTGGACTTCAACTCCCACAATTCCTAGCAGCCAGTAGACAGTAGGTTGAAGTCCAAAACACCTGGAGGGCCGAAGTTTGCCCATGCCTGGTTTAAACCATCTCAGATAGCCATACTGGATCCTTGTGTCCCTCCAGGAGATGCATCTACACTGCTTTGAACTGGATGATCTGGCAGTGTAGATTCAGATCATCCAGTTCAAACCTGATCATGTGGATGATCTGCTTTGCTACTGTGGATGATCTGGCATTTAGAAAGGGCAGAAATGAGACAAGCCTATAAGCGTATTACGAACACGAATGGATTGGGGAAGCTCTGGGTCAAAGCTTCTCCACACAAACACCAAGAAATCAAGAAATAGTGTTCTAAGATCTACGGAGATACTCGCAGGAACACCTCAGCAAGCTAGAGTCCAAAAGTGGCAGGCTAAAACCCAGCACCTCAGTCCATAGTTGATATCAAATAAGAGACTCCCTCCTGGGCACACAGAAGACTGGGCAACTTGGAAGGTGATGAACAGACTGTGCTCTAGCTCAATGAGATGCAGAGCCAACCTTAAGAAATGGAGCTACAAAGTGGAGTCCACGATATGCGAGTGTGGAGAAGAGCAAACCACAGACCACCTATTACAATGCAACCTGAGCCCTGCCACATGCACAATGGAGGACCTTCTTATAGCACCACCAAAGGCACTCCAAATAGCCAGGAGCCATTGGTGGCGCAATGGGTAAACCCCTGCTGCAAGACGGAAGACCAACAGGTGGGAGGTTCGAATGCGGGGAGAGCACGGATGAGCTCCCTCTGTCAGTTCCAGCTCCCCATGTGGGGACATGAGAGTAGCCTCCCACAAGGGATGGTAAAACATCTGGGCATTCCTGGGCAACGTCCTTGCAGACAGCCAATTCTCACACTTCAGGCCCACACTTCAATTGAAATACTAATAAGTTTATATATGTTAAAATTGTTCTTCATTTTAATTATTGTATTGTTTTAAGGTTTTTTTGCAGTACAAATAAGAAATGTGCAGTGTTATAGGAATTCATTTTTTTCTTCAAATTATAATCCGGCCCTCCAACAGTTTGAGGGACTGTGACCTGGCCCTCTGTTAAAAAAGTTTGAGGGCCCCTGCCCTAAACCTAAGCCTAACCCCTAAGCCTAATTCTAACGCTAATTCTAACTCTTATCCTACCCTAATCCTAACCCTAAACTTTATCCTAACCCTCCCCTCCTTTCTATCCTTCCACCAAATTGAAGTATATTCCCACCCTCAGTGTGCCGCTCTCCCCTTCCCTTATTCACAAATGCCATTGCGGAAGGTGCGTACCGCTCGGAGCTTCCGGACCCAGCTATCACCAAGAAAGCTTGCAGAGTGATAGTATGATAGCTGGGTCCGGAAGCTCCAAGCGGTACGCACATTCCGCAAAAGGCATTTGTGAATAAGGGATGGGGGGGGGGGGGGGGGCAGCGGCACATTGAGGGTGGGAATATACTTCAACATAAATGTACTTATGTATCCTTCCAACAATAATAGAGTAAAATAATAAATATAATAATAAAGTAAAATAATGGAAATGCAATAATAACAGTAATAATAGAGTAGAATAATAAATATAATAGAGTAAAATAATAAATACAATAATAATAAAGTAAAATAATAAATGTAATAATAATCATAAATAGTGTAAAATACTGTAAATGTATTAATAATAATAATAATAATATAATAATAATAATAATAATAATAATAATAAACTTTATTTGTACCCCGCTACCATCTCCCCAGGGACTCGGTGTGGCTTACATAAGGCTGAGCCCACAATATATCAAAAGAAGCAACAAAAATACAAAGCAATTAAAATAAATCTCAACACAAATAGCATAAACATTGACAATAGCACAACACACATTAAAAATCTATGGCTGGGCCGAATGTAATTAAAATTCAAAATAATGCTGGTCATGAACAAGATAGGGAGATGGGGTGTTGGTGAGAACATACAACAATCCTAAATCAGTATAAGTTGCTTTAGAGGACATAGTGCTAAGGGTTCATTATTCTGGGAAGGCACACTGGAAAAACCATGTTTTGAAGCTCCTCCTAAAGACTACCAGAGATGGGGCATGCCTGATGTCCTTGGGAAGTGAGTTCCAGAGTCGAGGGCCACCACCGAGAAGGCCCTCTCCCTCGTCCCCACCAATCACGCCTGCGATGGAGGTGGGAGCGCGAGCAGGGCCTCTCCAGATGATCGAAGAGATCGTGTGGGTTCGTACACAGAAATGCGGTCACGCAGGTAGGCGGGTCCCAAACCATTCAGGGCTTTGTAGGTAAGAACCTGCACCTTGAATTGGCAGCCAGATTGTAATAATAAAGGTAAAGGTAAAGGTAGTCCCCTGACATTAAGTCCAGTCATGTCTGACTCTGGGGTGTGGTGCTCATCTCCATTTCTAAGCCGAAGAGCCAGCGTTGTCCGCAGACACCTCCAAGGTCATGTGGCCGGCATGACTGCATGGAGCGCCGTTACCTTCCCGCCGGAGCGGTACCTATTGATCTACTCACATTTGCATGTTTTCGAACTGCTAGGTTGGCAGAAGCTAGGGCTGACAGCGGAAGCTCACGCCGCTCCCCGGAATCGAACCTGCGACGTTTCGATCAACAAGCTCAGCAGCTCAGTGCTTTAACCCACTGCGCCACCGGGGGCTTTATTATTATAAAATAATAATAAAGAGAGTAAAATAATAAATGAAATAAAAATAATACTAATAACAGAGTAAAATAATTAATAACCTTGACTCGAGTATAAGCCGAGGGGGGTTTTTTCAGCCTAAAAAAGGGGCTGAAAAACTAGGCTTATACTCGAGTATATACAGTACTTTATTTTCCAGCTCACGAGACTGGGCCACAGCCACGCGTGGCAGGGAATGGCTGGTAAATCAATAAATCTCAGAGAAAAGTACTTCTGGCGGAAGCCAGAGGGGCGTGGCCTAGAGGCGCGAGAGAGCGTCAGACCGGAAGCGCCTCTCTCTGACGCGAGAGAAGGCGAGTGGGCGGCCGAGCTGGGACGGCGGCCTTCATTCAGGCCGGAAGCCTCTGGTGGTCGGTTGCCTCTAGCGGCGGGCCTTGAGGCCCTCCTTCCGGCTGAAGCCTGGCGATCAGTGCGCACCGCCGCCGTGGAGACTATGTGGGCGGTTGTCCCCGCCGTGGCCCTGCCGCCGGCGCCTTTTCCCCTCCTCTTCCAGCCGGCGGCGCCTTTTCCCCGGACCTTCCGGCCGCTAGAGCCTCCTCCCAAGCCCACCCGCCCGGCGGCGCCTTCTCCCGAGCCCGCCCAGCCGCGCTGCCTGAGCTACGCCAACTACGACGAGCCCCGCTACAGCCGCCTCCTGGTGGTGCTGAAGGGCAAGTACCGCTTCCCGGCCCGGCACTTCGCCTCCTTCGGCGGCATCGAGGAGGTCTGGAGCGTGTTGAGTGGCAACCTCTGCCACCCCAGGAGGAACCCCCGCGGCCCGGTCTTCGTCAAGTACGCGCGCACTTCCCAGGCCTTGCGCGCCCTCGAGGACTCCGCCCACGTCACCGCCGTCGCCCAGGTGCGGCCCAGGCCTGCTCGGGAGGTGTAGTTTGCCCACGAGCCGGAGACAGAGCGGGCCCTAGGGTAGGAGATACAGCCCGGCCTGCACAGAAGGTCTCCARGCTGCAATAGTGGGTTAAACCCCTGCACCGGGGAGAGCGTGGATGAGCTCCCTCTATCAGCTCCAGCTCCTCATGCGGGGACATGAGAGAAGCCTCCCACAAGGATGATAAAAACATCAAAACATCCCGGTGTCCCCTGGGCAACGTCCTTTCAGATGGCCTATACTCTCACACCAGAAGTGACTTGTAGTTTCTCAAGCCACTCCTGACATGACAAAGAGCAAAACAAAACCAGGGTGCAKTTGCGTTGCAGAGTGAATACAGCTTGACACCACTTGTAAGGGGTTGCACTAGATGGTCCATGTGGCTGAGAGGGAAAAGGAAAAGGCCTGAGGCCTGTAGGAATACTAATACGAGGGTTGAATGAACGCCTCAACAGATGGCAGTACTGGTATGCAGCAGGTACTGACTTGTTCAGTAGACTCTCCTCTACAGTTCCATTTTGGCGGGAAGCCTTAGCATTGAATGGTTGTGTTGTTAAAATGCAAAGTATGGAACCCTGCGCAGACGTTTGGTCAATGCGACTTAAGCAACGTGCAGTCATTGAATTCTTGACAGCAGAAGGTGTCACCCCAAAGGAGATTATTCAGAGAATGCAAGCTGTTGATGGAGATTGTGTTGATGTGAGTACTGTACATCGTTTGGCATGATACCTTCTGCTGTCAACAATTCAATGACTGCACGTTGCTTAAGTCGCATTCACTGACCATCTGCGCAGGGTTCCATACTTCGCACTTTAACAACACAAGTGTTCAATGCTAAGGCTTCCTGCCAAATGGAACTGTAGAGGAGAGTCTACTGAACAAGCCAGTACCTGCCGCATACCAGTTCTGCCATCTGTTGAGGAGTTACAAAGGTGGAGGCATTACTTTTCATTCAACCTTCGTAATAACTTTATTTTTGTATCCTGCCACCATCTCCCTGAAGGAACTTGGGGCAGCTTACATGGGGACTTTTCAGGTATTTTTACCCCCGCCCAGTCAAACAAAGTTAAAATTTAACACGATAAAAATAAATATACAAAACACCGTAAACACATAATTCATCATACCACTAGCCAAACATTGAACATCGTGGACATTTCACTCATGCAATATAACTGCAAGGACAGGGCTAATAGAAAAGTACAAGAGCCAGATGATAAGTTAGGGCAGGAAGGGGCAAGTCAAATTAGTGCACTACAATTGCAGAACAGCAACAATAGTAAAGTGCAAGAGCTGAAAATTAAGGTATGGCTAGAAGGGCCAATTCATCTAGTGAACCGATTAATCAAAGACACATTGGAACATCCACGTTTTTCGGTCTTTACGAAAAGTGGACAGGGTGGGGGCTAATCCGATCTTGAAGAGAGAGTTCCAGAGCCAGGGGGGCCACCACCAACAAGGCCCTCTCCCTCGTCCCCACCAACCGTGCTTATGGCAGAAGTAGGGGTGAGAGAAGGGCCTCCCCAGCAGATCTTGGAGCTCACGTAAGTTCATAGGGGAAGATGCGATAGCAAAGATAGGCTGGACCGGAACCATTTAGGGCTTTGTAGGTAATAACCTGTACCTTGAATTGGGAAACTTACTGGCAGCCAGTAGAGCTCTTTTAACAGGGGGGTTGTCCGAATTGTGGAAGTTGAAGTCCAAAACACCTGGAGGGCCCAAGTTTGCCCAGGCCTGTTCAACTGGCTAAAGGTAAAGGTTTCCCCTTGACATTAAGTCTAGTCATGTCCATCTCTTGGGTATGGTACTTGTCTCAATTTCTAAGCTGAAGAGCTGGCATTGCCTGTAGACACCAAGGTCATGTGGCCAGCATCACTGCATGGAGCGCCATTACCTTCCCACAGAAGTGGCATCTATTGATCTATTCACATTTGCATGGTTTTGAACTGCTAGGTTGGTAGAAGCTGGGTTTAACAGTGGGAGCTCACCCTTCTCCATGGATTTGAACCACTGGCCTTTTGGTCAGGAAGTTCAGCTCAGTAGTTTAACCCACTGTGCCACCAGGGGGCTATGCAGTCTGTATTAGAGAACATAATCTTTTAGAGAAGAGCCAATTTTTTAAAAAAAACTCTTTAGAGCACAATCTTCTCTTTTGTTATATGGTCAAATATGATTATGCTAGGCATGGTTTTGGCTGTTAGACCAAATAACCTGAAATCTCTGATCTGTCAGGAAATTTGTCAGATTTGCTAGTGCATAAAACAGCAGAGCTTTAGAAGTGTTTTTTTTTCAGTGCTCAAAAATGCTCTCCTATAAAGACAACTTGTTTCATATCATGCACTCAAGAGACAAAATGAAATAGACTTTGATGGAAATAACATATTTGGTTTACTCACAGCCTTCATGTGTTCAGCATACACAGATACAAAAAATGTATTAGTCCAGTTTTAGATATCTTTGAGGCAAAACAGCTATCAGGAGATCACATTGTCAAAAGGAGAGAGAGGGGGGGGGGAGTGTGTGTATGTTGTCTTCTTCCTCTTTTATAACTTCTCAGAAACTATAGAGTAAAGCAGTGGTTTTCAACCTGCGGGTTCCCAGGTGTTTTGGCCTAAAATTCCCAGAAATCCCAGCCATTTTCCAGCTGTTAGGATTTCTGGGAGTTGAAGGCCAAAACATCTGGGGACCCACAGGTTGAGAATCACTGGAGTAAAGGAAGCTGCACACCAGAACATACATCCAGGACACAGTAAGCACCAAAATCATAGACAAACAGATTGCTAGAGAAGGCTTGATGAAGGTTGTCATTTCCAACAGTCCTGGGATTTGTACTTGGGGAGAGAAGGATATATCAAGAGTTTGCAAAACTGTGACTCCCACGATTCCATGGCACTGAAACCTAGCGGTGAAGCTATACGACATGTGTCAGACTTAAGGCCCGTGCCCTGAATATAGGCTGCCCTGCCGTATGTGGTCCTCCAGGTGCTGGACTACAATTCTGCATTCCTCGTCATTAGCCATCCAGACTAGAGCCGATGGGGGTACTGTTCCATTATCAGGGCAGAGGCCACCAGGAGTGCTCGAGAGAGAGGTGTTGTCCCATTTATTGAGGTGGAGGGTGGGTTGAAGGAGGAAAACAACCGTTTCCCCCTGTTCTGTTATTCCTCCCTCCCCACCCATGTCCTCCTTATGGAAAAGGGGGGCATAGCCAGCGAAAATGGGGGGAATGGTTTTCCTCCTTTAACTCCACCCCATAAATGGGACAATCCTTTTCTCTCTAGGGCCCCTGGTGGCCTCTGCCCAGATAATGGAACAGTACCCTAATGGTAGTTGTGATGCAGAAACATCAGGAAGGCTGCAGCTGGTTCTGTTTAGTCAGAAGAGGGGGGTTAGAATTGAGATATAAGGATGCCTGGCTTTAAAATGTGCTTTAACCTTTTCCCCAACCTCAGAGGCACAAGTGCTCTTGTGTTGCAATTCCCATTATCTCCAGTCCACATGGGGGTAACCAGAAGTATTGGGAGCTGTCGTTCAATAACATCTGGAAGGCTGAACTGGGTAAAAAGTAAAGAGCACCAACCACTGTGTAAAAAAAACTTATACAGGAAGTCCGAAGTTACAAACAAGATCAGTTCTGTAGTTTCTTAAGCAGAATTTATTTGTAAGTCAGAAACGGTACATTCTTTAAGTCAAACTCCAGCCATATATATAGATATAGATATTGCTTTGGATAGCTTAGGGAAGCGCTAACCCCTGTGGTGTTTGTTTTGCTGTCTGTGCCCCTGTTCAGAAGATTTCCCCCCACACTCTATTCCTGTGATAATTGTATATTGAAAAAAATGTCTTGTGGAAAGAAGGATTGATGAGAAAGCTTCAGTGGAGACCCCTTTCCCCCATGATTACTCTTCCAGGAGTGGACTTTGCCTTTTAGGAGTAGATTTCTCTCACTTCCAGATGTCTCTCATCTTTAGTAAGTCGGATGTTTGTAACTCGGGGACTGCCTCTATATCATTTTACTTGATTTAACATAATTTCTTGTGAACAGATTGAGCAAGGTAAAAATTTATATCAACAAATTATAATATGAATAGTTTTTCTTCATGACTTAATTACTGACTAGAGCAGTCTGATATGACAGAATGATTTGTCTCTATCTGAATAATCAAATCGGAGATAAATAGCTAATAATTGTCAGTAGTTCTGGGTGTATAATCCTAACCATTTTCCATCCTAGTTGGGAACAATGGGAATTAGAGCTTATGCTTACCTTTGATTCCGTTTATCAGAGGCTTTTATGCACTGTGGACATGAGTTATGAACTATAAACAACTACAGATCATCCTAGTTTCCTTTCATGGCTTATACTGATGTAACAACTAGATGCTGCCTGAAAACTCATGGACTTCTCTTCTCCTTCCTTAGTTATGCTGAAACTATTTAGAGTAACTTGGCTGTTACTGTTACGGCATTTGAGCAATATTGCTAAATCATAACTGTGGTCCATCAGCATGGGCCTCTGCTTTGAGGGCATGATTTGGGAACCAACATTGAATCTTGCTAAACTGTCTAAATTAAGGCAATATTGTTGTAGGTTATGTCATTATTATTCTTTCCAATTTAGATATATTTGGCACAAAACAGAGTTCCTGGAAGTCGGCATGAACTGGATGTGGATCTTCGGAAATTAACTGTAATACATGTCACAATCCCAAGGATTTTTACTAAAAATGTCTTGGAGAACACATTTAAGGTACAGATGCAGCATCAACACTGATCCATAATGCATTTTTAGTCCACTCAAAGAATACTAAAGGTATAGAATGCCATTTTTGGAGCTAGTTGTAAACTATTAATTTGTTTGATTTTAATAGATATTTATATTATATATATGTATATAGGTTTATGGAGCCATTGTTTCATGTTCCATCATAAAGAACAAAGTTGGAGAATCTACAGATTCGGCATTCATAAGATTTTTAAAGGCATCCGAAGCTGCTTTGGCCATAGAGGAGTGTGACAAAAGTAAGATGATTTTCTCTCCTTCTTAGAGTGGTTGTGGGATAAAATCCTGTCTCTTCATTGAAAAATCTGCATAGAAGTAGTCCTATAAACTTTAGACATTGGTACCTGCTCAGTGTCCCTATATTGCATGCTTTTATAGTGTTATTTTCACAATATTGCAACATACTGTTTTGTTGGGGTACATTCATGTCCCAGCCAGAGCTGTGGTTTTTAAAAAGAAAAAAAAAAACCTGATTCAGACAAAGTGCTTTAAGGCCTTGTACTGAGTTTTCTATCTCAATACCTTTGACCAAAGGTGTCCTGTTTGAATAGAAACACATTCATTTAAACCCTTTAGGGTGATTTTTTACCCCTCTGTGTGAAGGGAGAAAAACAAAAATGTTCATTTAAAAAAAACTGATACAAGTAGATCCACGTATTTCATCACACTAGAGAATGAATCCACTTTAAATCCGGTTGCTGCCTTCTGCAGAATTCTGGGTTTTTGTAGTTTAACAGTCTCACTAAACTACAAACCCCAGAATTTTGCAGGAGGCAGAAACCGGATTTAAGGTGGCTTCATTCTCTAGTGTGATGAAGTACCAGGAAACCAAGCACAAATGTACTTTTGACATCAGAGATAGTAACTGCTTTTGAAACACTTCTCTGCTTAAAGAATGGGGAAAGAAGATGAAAGTGGGAGGTTTTTTAAAATTACAATTCCTGATCTATTGGAAAGCAAACAGTTCAGGCTAATCACCTGATTCCTATCCACCTGTGAATAGAGTCATATACGTCAGTTAAATTTAGTAAATCTTTTACGCTATGTCCCCAATACAATTTTGCAGATTATAAGATTCAACAGTACATCCCCACTGGAACATTTTTGGGCATTGGGTGAGCTGCAGTGTCCTTTAAGCTGCTAAATGAGCATTTTTTTAATGTTTTGCCATATGATTGGATATTTCAGGAGTAACTTTTAAACCCTTAGAGGCCTTATTTTGACCTATTTTCAAATGAGTAAGAGCTCTGACTTTTGACTCTAATGCATTTTTGTTTTGAAATAAGAGGTGTATGAACTTAAAAATGTTCTCTGGAGATCTTAAAAAGCTCAGTGGGGCGGATGTTCAGAGAAAAGGTGCATTCCTTTTCCCCTGAAACATTTGGTTTTAGGGCCACGGTGGTCCACGCTCTGATTACATCCCGTTTAGACTACTGCAACGCTCTCTACGTGGGGTTGCCTCTGAAGACTGCCCGGAAGCTCCAACTAGTCCAACGAGCGGCAGCCAGATTACTAACAGGAGCGGGGTATAGGGAGCATACTACTCCTCTGTTGCGCCAGCTCCACTGGCTGCCAATTAGCTTCCGAGCACAATTCACCATCAAGATTGTTAAGATCTTTTGGAGGGGCCCTGCTCTTGGTCCCACCATCCTCGCAAGCGCGTCTGGTGGGGACGAGGGACAGGGCCTTCTCGGTGGTGGCCCCTCGGCTCTGGAACTCTCTCCCACTGGAGATTAGAACTGCCTCTTCTCTCCTGACTTTTAGAAAACAGGTGAAAACTTGGCTCTGGAAACTGGCATTTGACGAGTGAGTCAATAACTCGTGACTACACGGACGGATGGTGATGAACTACGATTTTATTTTGACAACTTGACCAATGTAATTATGTGATTGTATTTTAGTATTTTAATGTTTTAGTGTATTATGGGATGTGATGTTTTTTAAACGATTGTCTGTGATACTGTTGTGAACCGGCCTGAGTCCCTCTGCGGAGGTGAGAAGACCGGTATATAAAAGTTCTAAATAAATAAATACATTTGAGCTATGTGTCTGCAAGAGCAACAATGGGAAGTTGCAGCTCTCGTGTCCTGTGGAGTGGCAAGGTGGACCACAAACCTTTTTGTTTTTGTTTTTGAGGAGTGATGCGGAAATCCGATAAATATTCAAATGTCTAGTTTCACAACCTACTGTTTTCTGGGTGACTACCAGATTTTCCTGTGTTCCTCAGACAGTTTGTCCTAAGCTATACATTTTAAGAAACTCCTAAGACAAGCCTCAGTTTCATTGTAATCCATAAGAATGACCAAATGTCAGTAGTGAAAAACACTTTTTTAACATTTGGAATTGCTGCTTGATTTCAGGTTTTCAAGCTGTTTGGGCTGCGGACAATCCCGATCTCCCTATACCCCCTGATCTCAAATTTGGTGTGTTTGGTGCCCAGCAGGGGATAACAAAACATGAAATCCAAGGAGCTACCTTAAATACTATGTGTATGTAATATAATTTCAAAACAAAACAAAGTTTATATTTACTACTGTGCGCGTATTGGTATTTCCCACTGAAATGCTTTGATTTTCATGTCTTAGATTTAACAATGTCTAAAAAAAATTAAAAATGAGATATTATTTTAAAAACAGAATGCAGATCAAAATATTTTAAATTAAATATGTGGCGTTTTGTTTAGTTTAATAATGTTTAGTTAAATTCTATTTTAATATTTATAGTCTTTATTTTTATACTGTATATTGTATTGCTTTTAGAACTGTTAGCCACTTCAAATCTCTGTTAGGAAAAAAAGTGGCATAATAATAATAATAATAATAATAATAATAATAATAATAATAATAATAATAGAAGACTCTCCCTGCAGAGGATTGTTAGATATCTTTTAGAGGACAAGTGCCAAAGGGTGAATCTCATAGTGGCAAAATTCCTCACAGTGGCAACAAGGCTGAGCAAGCAACTAACTTCTGATAGGGGTATTACTTCAGACCATGTAGGTGTATTTTGTACAACAGACTTCTCCTGAGATGGGAGAATTTATAATGACTGTTAGTTTTACTGATGGGTCTATGGACCGTAATAAAAATGGTTGTTATGATAGAATTAAAACCCCAGGTTGAACAAGCCCGTAACTCAGTTGACAAGGTCCACTAAAGTCATGTCTCATGCAAATAGTCCCAAACAAGAATCAGTAATTTATAAAGTGTGTGGAAACAGTTTGAATACTTCATGTAGTTTTTTATACATACCCAAACACAAATATAGGTGTAGGTTGCGATATTGTTGTACAAACTCTGCTAATATTCACAGAAATCCTGGTTGGCTGCTAGTCTTGATTTTAAGCCTTTCAGAGAGAAAAATAAAATACAAGATACTGTACCTAGTAGTCCAAAACAGAATCTAAATTGAAATGTATATATATATATGTGTGTGTATTATTATATACCTGTTTACTTCAGGTAAAAACACCAGTCTGGCTAACGAGCCAAGTAAAGTATCTGAATCCAAATCTCCTGTGAACAATCCCAAAGAGAAAACAACATGCAAAGAAGTACAAGAAAGCAGCGTGGATACTTTGGGTAAGTTTTAAGTCATCTGTGATCCAGAAATCCTTGTAGTCTTGGTTTTAGGACTTCAAGGGAAAATTAAAATATGGGATACTGTACATAGTAGTCTAAAAACAGAATCTGAATTATAGGTTTAATATAATGAAATATTTGTCTTTTGGCTTCAGGTAAAAGCACCAGTGAGGCTAATGTTGTTACAGAGCCCAGTAAATTATCTACATCCAAATGTGATGTAAACAATTCTACACCCAAAACAACAAACAATGAAATAGAAAAGAGCAGCGTGAATACTTCTGGTAAGTTTTCAGCAATACTTTTTTATGTCGTCTGTTATCCTGCATTTGAAATCCTTGCCATTTAATTGTCTTGCAAAGATATGCTTATCATCCTTTAATCCCAACAGGATAATAGCCCGAGGTTCCCTAAACATAAAAGCTGATATTTTGAAATTTTGCCCTATTCACTCTTGTTTCAGGTAAAGATACCAAATGGGTTAAGCCTGCAATGAAACCTGCATCACTATCTGAATCCCAAACACAAAACAACAAGCAGTGATGTTCAAGGGAGCAAGTTGAATATTTTAAGAAAGTTTTAAGCAGGAATTTTATGTAATCTTTGACATAAAACCTTTTCACTTGCTAGCCGTAGATTTTAGCCTTCCAGAGAAAATTAAAATATAAGATACTATAATATGTTGCCATATTGATGCTTGCTTCAGGTAAATGTACCAAACCGGAACAGCAAACTACTTCATCTTCCATGATCTGCACTGAAAAGAAAACAATAAGTTCTGAAATGCAATGGAGCAACTTGATCCCTGTAGGTATGTAGTAGACTCTTAAGAGTGACATGCTAGTACACTTATGATGGTAATTTCTACTGAAATGCTTCTAATTTCCTTCTCTGAAAGAGATTCAGAATGCGTTGTGTAGTAGAATGAAGGCATGAGTGTTTCGACATTCTTTTTGACTGTATACCACCTATCTCTGGGCTTCAGTTTCTAGGACCACTTCAAATGTGCCTGTGACCAGGACTGAATCTGAACCTGGTCATGCAGTACAGAATGCCATCACCTGCAGAATTACGGGGAGCAATTTGATTGTTTCAGGTATGTAGTGTGAGTCATATATTCCTGAATCCTTGTACACATGTGATGTAAATTTTCATTGGCACTGTCTTGCTTCACTTTAAGAGGTTGTACGGAGATTCCAATAGAACAGTGGTTCTCAACCTGTGGGTCCCCAAGTATTTTGGCCTACAACTCCCAGAAATCCCAGCCAGTTTTATCAGCTGTTGGGATTTCTGGGAGTTGAAGACCAAAACATCTGGGGACACACAGGTTGAGAACCACTGCTAGAGAAGGTGTTATATGAGTCTTCTTTCTATTGTGCAGGGTTGGTCAAACAAATCTGTTTGCGGTATATAGAAGTGACTCCTAATAGATGACAAAGAATGATTGAAGAAAGACCAGGAGTGGGTTTTGTGAAGACACTTGTAAGCTTAGCCCTGATAATGAGTATACTGGTCTTGATCTTGGATTAATGTTTTCACGAGGCAGCACTGGACTTTTGAGATCTCATAGGGTTCCCTTTACTGTGTTTTAACTGTTGTCTCAGATAATGTAATATGCGTATGTTTTAATGAATGCTTTTAAGGTTGCATTTTCACTATGATTTAATATGTGATTTTATAGATTTATTTAACTACTCACTTGGGGACCTGACGGTGGCAGGTTATTTGAAAAGGGCATTTGATGTCTGGGTTATTTGTTGGCTGGGTTCAGGCTTTCTGGATAAGGGTGAACTACAACTCCCAAATGCCATGGCTAATCACCCCAAACCAGGCCTCTATGCACAGTGGGCCATGTTGGGTCTGTGTACCAAATTTGGTGTAGATCTGAGGTTGGCTGGGTTCAGAGCTCTGTGGCTAAGGGTGAACTACAACTCCCAACATTAAGGTCACAAACCCCTGCAGTATGGTCAGTTGGTCACGGGAGTTCTCTGTGCCAAGTTTGGTCCTGGTCCATCATCGGTGGGGTTTGGAGTGCTCTTTGATTGCAGTTGAACTATAAATCCCAGAGCACATCAGCGAAAACTTTTGGGCTGTCGAAGATGGCCAACCTATACAGACTTGTTTAATAAGAGTACAAATAATATTAAAACGTATGAGGAGTTAAAACAGAATTTTACAAATATTACATGGTTACACTATATGCAAATTAAAGATTATTATAATCAAGATAAAAAATTAGGCTTCAATTGGGAAGAAGTGACTTGGGATAGGATATTAAAAATGGAAAAGAAAGTAATATCCAATATCTTTAATATATTACTTAACTGGCTGACCGAAAAAGAACAGGTCAAAAATTGTATGATAAAATGGGCTCAAAACACTAGCATAAGGATACTGAGAGTACTCTTTGCATGTATGCCTTTATCCCCCACTATTTTTGCTGTGCTTGTGTTGTTATACACATATGCTTATAGAGGGCTACTATATTTTTGCACTGTTTTAATCTAACTTTACACTGGGTACAAAATGTGTGTTAAATAACCCTCATAAACTAACATGCAACAAACATTGGTCTATTAGGGTCCAAATCTGGGGCCTAATTCAAGGTGCAGGTTATGACCTACAAAGCCCTAAACCAGTGGTTCTCAACCTGTGGGTCCCCAGGTGTTTTGGCCTACAACTCCCAGAAATCCCAGCCAGTTTACCAGCTATTAGCATTTCTGGGAGCTGAAGGCCAAAACATCTGGGGACCCACAGGTTGAGAACCACTGCCCTAAACGGTTCAGGCCCCACCTATCTCTGCAATGGCATCTCCCCCTATGAACTGACACGGACTCTTAGATCCCGCCACTGTCCCAAGCATGGTTGGTGGGGATGAGGGCCTTCTTGGTGGTGGCCCCCTGCCTTTGGAACGTCCTCCCCAGAGAGATAAGACAAGCCTTGTCACTACCCTCCTTCTGCAGGGACCTGAAAACCTGGTGTTTCCATCAGGTCTCTGAGAATGATTAGCCTCAGGCCCTATCCTGGCTATCTGCTCTGCACTTATCCACTTCCCCAGCCCTGTGCTACTTCATTGCACTAGCCCTGGCCGAGCCCTTTCATAGCTGACTATGCCCACTTTGAAATTCTGGCCTTTGGTCATTCTTATCTTTCCTGTTGTGGAACTGGCAAAGTTTTAAATGTTTGTGATTGTTTTAATTGTATTATGCTTATGTTTTATAATGGGTATTTTGTATGATTTTGTGTTGGTAATTGAGGGCTTTGCCCATGCTGGAAACTGCCTTGAGTCCCTCAGGGAGATAGAGCGCTATACAAATAAAGTTTATTTATTTATATTTATTTACAGGCAGCTCCTCCAGAAGTAACTTTGAACAAAAAGGAAGCAGACCCTGTAGAAGCAACTTAATCACTTTATGTATGTAGCACACTTTTATGATCAGCATTTCTGTGATCCCAGTGCATATGGGATAGTAGTTTTCTATTGAAGTTTTTGGACCATGTATCCCTCATTGTTAAGATATGATATGGTCATTATGATACACAGTAATCTAGCAAATCAAATGCAATTTTAATCTTGGTCTGTTTATCTTCTAGCTTCAGCTGACAACACCACTTCATCTGAACCTGCAACCAAGGCATTCAACTCTAGTGTAAACTACTGGGTAAATCGCACAGAAAAAAAGAAAAACTTCACCAGTGCAACGGAAAGCAACTTGATTACATTAGGTATCCAGTCTAGCTTGGGTACCCAGCATTGCCCAGGTTATTTGAAAAAGTCATTTTTTTTATTTTACAAAATGCATAATCTTGTGGGTGAAGTACAACTGACATAATGCCAGGTTAACCCAGAGAAATTCCATTAGGACTTAGTTTGTCACGTTGAATAAGTTTGCTATAAATGCAGCATTGGTGGGGTCCTCTGGCTGCAGGGTAAACTACAAGTCCCACCATAATGAGTCAGTCCCATCAAGCACCTACAGTAGGTTCAGTTGGTAATGGGGATTCAGTGTGCCAGGTTTGGTCCTCCTTTATTGTCGGTGGTAGTCACAGTGTCTCCGGATGTAGGTGAACTACAACTCCCAGAAATGATGGTGAATCCTCTCAAACTCCTCCAGTATATTCAGTTGGGGTCTCTATGTGCCAAGTTTGATTCAGGTCCATCGTTGGTAGGGGTCACAATTTCTGTGGTTGGAGGAGAACTACAACTCTCAAAACTCAAGGTCAGTCCCTTCCAAAGCCCTCCAATGAGATATGCATGCCAAGTTTTATCCAGATCCATTGATTTTTGGATTCACAGTGCTCTCTGGATGTAGGTGAACTACAACTCCCCCAAATGAAAGTGAATTTCCCACAAAGATCTCAACCTTCAATTCCCAGAAATCCTAAAAGGCTGGGATTTCTGGGAGTAGGTCAAAACACCTGGGGACCCACAGGTTGAGAACCACTGTTCTAACAGTTTTGGCTTGCCTTTGACTGTGCTATCAGCTCTTCCTTCTCTTCCTTTTGGCTTGAATCGGACCTCCTTTGATTATGCTCTTGAAATCTCCCTACTGCCTTACCTTTTGACTTAGTCTTCCATTTGATCTTGTGACTGGATCACCCTTTCAGGCCAATCTTAGCTGATCATTATGCTCTCCACCTCCTTTTTTTTTTTTGGTAGCAGCTCTCCAGACTAGAAGAGGGGGTTGTTCTGTGAATGGGCGAGTACGTAAAGTCTATTTTGCATAGTCCTACTTATTTTGAATGAATAATAGAGGTAATCTATCCAAGGGTTATCTTTCATCTGCTGTGGAGAAAAATGTGTCACAGTAAATCTCAGTGTTCCTTTGGTTTGTTTGGTTTAGATTATAGGTTCAGTGCGGTTCAACAAGTTTTTAACCCACCAGAACACCATGGATATGCATATTATGCAGATGGTACAAATTACAGTGCTGCTTTGTCTGAACCTTCAATGCAGCCACCTGGAACCAATTTGGACTACTATTATATAAGTGGTGTGGAACAGCAGACAGATAACCACAGTGTGAAAGAGAGCAACTTGATGTCTTCAGGTAGGCAATGCAGTGTTCTTCTTAAAAATCCTTCTAACACATACAGCACCCATTTGTATTGAAAATCTTAGGACATTTGACTTTTCAAATAAAGATTATAAGGTAATTCGATGTATTTATATTTATGTAATGAGTTTTAAATCTTAAACCAGGAGTCCTCAAACGAATGCTCATGGGCAGGATATGGCCCTCCAAGGTTACTATCTGATCCCTGCCCTAAACTTTAGACTTAAGAGGTTTGAAATGGCTTGAAGGCACACGGCAACAACAATCCTAATTAGTGTGACTATCTCATCATCCAAAAGCAGGCCCACATTTCCCATTGAAATACTTTATGTTGGGTAAAATTGCTCTTCATTTTAAATATTGTTCTTTAATGCTTTTTGTGCTACAAATAAGATAATGTGCAATGTTCATAGGAATTCATTCTTGTGTTTTTAGACTATAGTCCAGCTCCCCAATAATCTGTAGGGCCATGAACTGGCCCTCTGCTTAAAAAATTTGAAGAGCCCTGTCTTAAGCTATCTATTTGTTGAGTCAAGATATTGTCTTGAGCTTGTGTTCAAGCAATCTGAATACCACGTTTACTAAGTAGGTGGTACATGTTATGGTACTACATTGTGAGTGTGAAATATCACCTGAACTTGATGTATGCCGCTGCAGTGTTTTTATCCTAGGTCTGTGGCTATGTTGAACTATGTGTTTTCTCACTGATGTGGTATTGGGGGTGGCGGGGTAGAGGGGTGGTTGTGTTGTTTTGTGGTGTGTGCGGGGGAAGGCATGTAATTTGGTTGTGTAATAGCACAATGACAAAGCTATTCTAATGTCTAATGGAATATAGAAAATATAAAGAGGAGGTACTGCAGAGCACACAGACGGGGACGGGGTCAATTTAGTGTTCTGTATGTAATCTTCCAGGTAGCAAATGTGCTCTTACAATTAATCTGTTTTCATTCCTGAGTTCTGCTTCTGTTTGCTTCTGTGTATTTTTAGAGGTTCTAAGGAGCTATAAGCATGAGTGATAGTTGAATTCTAATTAGTTAACCTGTATATGTGTAAGAAAGTAGGCTGTTTTTGCATGACCATGCACCTCTCTCTGCAAATTAATGGCCTGAAGGGGATTTAGTTGGCTATTTTGTAGCATCTGTGGGGGGAATCTTTTCATAGTATTGAGGCAGCCTTTGTTTCCAAGCAGGAAGTGACAATAAGTTATTTCCTGTTAGAGAAAATGCTCTTCTGGGCTTAGAATAGTTGAAAGAATATGAAAACATCACCAAACACAATGAAATGTCCAGTCGCACTTTCCCAGCAGCTTTAAGTTAAGGAATTTTGCATTTGGTTGAAGAAACTCCGTTGCTATATTGAGAAGTGGAGAATGAGATAGAGACCTCCCAATTCCTGGGATTTGCACAGCCTTTCATAAAGTTTTAACTTGGGTCTGTATATCTTTTATCTCAGGTTACAGCACCCTTTTGCCTGTATCTGTGACTCAACCACTTGAACCCATTGTCTGCCCCATTTATGAGAGTGCTGCGGAACCAGAAGTAAAGGTTGCTGAAGTACAACAGGATACTGTGCTCACAACAGGTAGGATTGTCTTAAAGCAAATGTTTATGTGCAGGTTGAAATCTTAAAACTTATCGAAGGGCAATTATTTCCATTGAACTTCATTGTTTGCCTCCATATGAAGAAGTTTTAAGGAGTTTTTTTAAAAGTATTACTGTATATACTCCAGAATAAGCCTAGTTTTTCAGTCCCCTTTTTAGGCTAAAAAAGCGCCCCTCGGCTTATACTCGGTTATACTTCTTTCAGCCCCAAGCCGTCCTGCCAGGACTCTCACCTCTCAACAAAGCAACCCAGCTCTCCTTCTCCTCCTCCTCCTCTCTCACGCAGCATGCACATTCCTCTCCTTCTCTCTCGGTGCCAGTCTTTCCCACTTTTCCTTATTCATATTCACACAGCATTTCCCCCAAAATGTATAGTTAAAATAAACTATGGTGATTATTGGAAGGATACGTAAGCACATTTACATTGAAGAAGGTTAGAATAATGATTTAATCAGAGTTGGACAGTCTTATCTTAAATTACAGTTTTATGTAAATATTCAAAAACATTTAACCTACTGATGAATCAATTAATGTAACTTTATTGGTATCTTTTTTTATATTGAAATCCACCAGTATCAGCTGCATTTCTCACCCTCAGCTTATACTCAAGTCAATAAGTGGTCCCAGTTTTTTGTGGTAAAATAAGGCGCCTCGGCTTAAATTCGGCTCGGCTTATATATGAGTATATACAGTACCTATTTCCTTTTTATATTTTCTGTGTTTCACTAGAGACATTAGAATAGCTTTATTTGTCACTATACCTATAAAGTAGTACCCACAAATGCATGAAAACAGAAATGTGTCTTGAATGTGCATACTTCATCTTCAGAAAAGTCCCTGAAATCATCTGAATGGAAGTTCTACATGGGTGGTGCACGTCGTAAAAAAGGGAGCCGAGGGAACAGCTTGCTTACTTCAGGTAGGTATGATTTTATTGTTTGTTTGTTTATTTACTTATGGCATTTATATAACGCTTCTCTCACCGCTTAGGGGATTCAAAACTGTTTCCAATATAATAATGGCAAAATGTATGCCATATGTACATGATCTGAAAATGAACATATATGTGAAGATAGTGGTGCCAGTATTCCTCTGTTGAAGTGAGGCAACCTGTGCTAAAATGTTTATTTTACTGGAATCATGTGTGATAAATTTTATGCAGAAGTCACCTAAGCACCATTGACAAATGTCTAAGCAGAGAATAGATAAGCGTATGTTAGAATGTGAAACCAGCGTGTTGTTGGAATTTAGGCATGTCCATTTGTGATTATTATTATTATTATTATTATTATTATTATTTTATTTTTTACTCGCCTCTCCTTGTGGCTCGAGGCAGACATGACATAGTTAAAAGCATTATCAACATTAGCATTGTAAAACATTATGTAAAAGTTGCATCTTAAAATGTATTTCTATGCAGAACGTATACTGTATTTACTCAAATCTAATTCTCACCTTTTTTGGCTAAATGACATCTCTAAAATTAGGGTGCACATTAGATTTGCATAATATGGTGATCTTAGTGCTGAGCCAAAGCAAAAGGGGAAGCTACTTCAGAAGCCCCTGGAGCTGCTATTTGAGGGATGTCACCTCAAATTGAATTGCCATGGCTCCATGCTATTTGATTCTGGGCTTTCTAGTTTGGTGAGCATTCTTTGGCAGCCTGCATGATCCCAAACTACAGCCCCCACAACCCCATAGCATTGAACCAGGGCAATTAAAGTAGATTCATTCGACAGCATAGATGTACCTTGAGGGTTTTCTTTTCCATTGCTGAAAGCTTTAGTGTTCCGAAATTTTTGTTTTTAAAGAAGGAATCCTAAGTAGGCAGTACTCACAATGGCCAAATTACAAAGAGTACATTTTTTGTTACTGTTCATTACATTCATTAGCAAAAATAATAATAATAATAATAATAATAATAATAGTTTTATTTATATCCTGTTTTTCTCCCTGGATGGGACCCAAAGCAGCTCACAACATTTCAAAAATCAGTACAAACAGCAAACACATATAACAATAAAACTATCAACATCGTTTAACAATTATTGCAGGGACTTGTCAATTAAAATAACACACACTTTGCACAACTCACTGCAAGTTAGCCTTCCTGTCATTTCAGATTAGATTTCTTCATTAAATGTTTGCTTGAACCAGGAACATCTTCAGCTGTTTTAAAAAGCTGTCAGGGAAGAGGCTGTTTTAATGTCCTTGGGAAGGGAGTTCCAGAGGGCTGGGGGGGGACGGACGAGAAGACCCTCTCCTCCATTGCTGCCAACCGCATTTGCGATGATGGTGGCAGCAGCAAGAGAAGGGCCTCTCTGGAAGATCTTACTTGGGCAGGTTGGTATGAGGAGATGCAGTCAGATAAATAAGTTGGACCTGAACGGTTTAGGGCTTTAAAGGTCAAAACCAGCACCTTAAATTGGGCCCAGAAACATATTGGCAGCCAATGTAGGCGCTGTAGGAGGGGGTGGTACGCTCCCTGGATCCAGCAACTGTGAGCAACCTGGCTGTAGATCTTTGGACCAGTTGAAGTTTCCAAACACTCTTCAGGGGCAGCCCCACATAGAGGCCGTTATAGTAGTCTAGGTGGAATGTAACCAAGGAATGGACCACCATGGCCAAGTCTGGCTTCTCAAGGTAAGGTCGCAGCTGGAACACAAGTTTTAATTGTGCGAAGGCCATCCTGTCCACTGTCGACACCTGATTCTCCAGGCATAGCAGTGAGAGAGAAGGGTATGATAACAGGTTGTCATTCCACTGAACATAGATTTCAAGATTAAACCAATTAAGAGTTCAAAGTAGATTCAACTTAATTATTTTGTAGTCTGTAATGATAATGCTTTGCTATGTTTCATTTAGTGGACCCACCAGACCTTGCAAGTGTGAAAAGGAGTAATTCCAGAAAACAAGAATCAATCTCTAGACATTTGTTAATGGTATCGGAATTCCCATTGACTCAAGAGCAAATATTTGGCTTGTTTGATGTCATCCCAGGATTGGAATCTTGTGAAGCTCGTCCAGGTCTTCGTAGTACACGTGGTAATGCAAAATGTTGAAAAGTGCTTTTTAATGTAAAATTGGATTCTGCATAAGCTATGATTTTTTTTGGTCAAATGCTTTAGTAATCGAAAGATAAATACATGAATCAGTAAAGAGATGTTGCATTTGAACAATTCTAAAGATACAGTTTAAGTTCTTTTTATTTGAAAGTGAGTTTACTTCATATATGTTTCTTTTAGACTTTTCTAATGTAGGGCACAACCATGATAGATTGCTGTGCCTTGTATTGGGGGAGAGATTACTTCATTCACCATGTAAATGCCTTGGAGCCAGTTCCTGCCCACGTCAGAATTTGATGCCCATGTAGATGTGCCCATAGGCGTGATATTTGTCTTAGAATGTGTATACTGTATATCCATATTTGAAGCTGGTGATCATAGCAGCAGCAAAAACAGAATTTGTTGAGCTATGCATCTAGTTCCTACTTTGGACACAAAGGGTTTTATGTCAGATTCTGAGTAAATTGTAGGGAATGAATTGCTGTTTGTACCAATTACGTAACATTAGCTGGAATCTCTATAGCAGGCCTGCACAACTTGCCGGTAGTAAGGACCCGAAATTGCATTGACTCACCCTTTGGAGCCTAAATAGGTTTTTAGCACCTCACTTTCCAAGTAAGGTAAAAATAATGATTGATTAGTATTGTTGCCTTCAAGTTGTTTCAGACAGGGTGGCTCTAATGCAACCGTATCACAGAGCTTTGGGCTTTCCCCCCAAGATGTATTCAAAGGGGATTTTCCTTTGTCTTCCTCTGAGGCTGAGAGAGTGTGACTTTCTTAGAGTCACCCAGTGGGTTGAGAGCTATAGTCTGAGGTTCAAACCACTACACCACTCTTTCTGAATTCTTTCTGTTTCTTACCTCACTGTTTGCTAAAGAGGTCTTTTTGAATGAGTACTACAAAACTTACTTTATTATTGGAGTTGTCCTGTTTTTGGGTTTGCTCTCAATAAGCTTTGAATGATTTTATACTTACAGTCACGCTTTTGTTCATTCTTAGTATATGCAATGATTCAGTACAGACATGTTGCATCTGCTGTGTATGCCAAGCGCAGACTACATGGTTTAGAACATCCTCTTGGGAATCAGCTGCATATTACTTACATTGAAGACAATATGCATGGAATTGAGTAAGTACTAAATCATACAGATGTCAAATACGGTGGTGCTGGCTAACTTAAGAATCACAAGGCATACTTTTTTTGTTTTAGAAAATTGAAACAATTACTTTGCAAATGGTGGATATCTGGAATAAAATCGATATTTCCCTTAAAAATAAGGAAATACAAAATGACTTCCTTATTCATGAATTCAGTATGCATGGATTCACTTATGCCCCTGGAAATGATTGTGGGCTTTTCTAGTTTCTACAGCTTGATTCCACAGTTTGTTTCCAATTCAAGTATAATCAAACTATAGAATTCACTATTGTGCATAGATGGGGACTTTAAATGTGTCCCCGGTGGATACAGGGGTTGTACTTTACACTCAAAAGGAATTTAAGTCAATTTTTGATCCTTCAGATCTCTACCATATGCAAGTGTAAGAAATTTGTAAGGCGTTATCTTTCTAGTTCGCTAAAGCAGGGCTTATTAAGCCACAAGGCCCAGCCCAAAATGAGGCTCCTTTGCTCAGTGTTGGGATCCTGAATGTCACCTAGTGGCTATTGCAGATATTTACATGAATATTCTGCAGAATGTACTTTAGCTGTTTTTTCTAAAAAAGAAAATCCGCCTGTTTCTCTGTTAGTTTATTATCAGTAAATGTTTGGTTTTTATACCAGTTTTGTATGCCTGGGGGAACTAATATTAAGGGAACTTATTAAGTACTTGAGTGCATCAGGGATTTAATTAATATTGAATATTACCCATGAATGTTGAGCTTCTCTATTTAACTATAATTAAACAATGTTAAGATTTGAAAAGTATGCATTAGTTTTAGAAATATCTTAATGTTCCTTCAGACTCCTCCAAGAAATGGCAACACAGCTGGTGACTTCACAACTGGCTTCGTTGATATGGGATAATAATTGGGCTCCTCATCTTCTGAGGTCCGCTGTAAGTACTTTTCTCAGCTTCTAAATAACTAAATTGCTGCTACATGTGTTAGCATTATTTATGTCTTTTTAAAAATAATAGCTTGCCATTTTTTGTATTAATTGTGTTGATTGACTGTATTTGCCATAGGAAAATGGTTTGATTGGTTGCCGTGTTTTCATTGGGAAACCTAATTGTTATGTTGGATTTCACTCATCCTTGGTTTACTCAGTTTTCTCATATCCTTTTTTTGGCACTTTGATTGGAATAGTAACAAATTATGGGAAATATGAGCATGCCCATAAAGTATGTAGTAGAAAAGCTGGGGCCTTGCGTATCCTTCCTGGTTGCCCTGTGAAAGCCACCCATGAGATGCCAAGTGAAGGAACGTGGCCCTTTGGAGTAAGATGATCTCTGTGAACAGACAAGAGAAGAGGCTGAACAGGGAAGGCCAAGTTTGTTAGTCTGATTGTATGCATGTAAATCTACTTGCTGTGTCTCAAAGGGTTATAGACATTCATAGGGACACAGATGCCTGTGTGCATCCTGTTTCTGTATTGAAATATGTGTGTTTTACTTTATATACTCATGCATAAGTATACAAATTCTAGTCAAAAAACCCAACCCCCCAAAACAGGTTGACTTATCCACAAGTTAGTGTGGGTACTGTACCTTCATTTTTATTTTAAAAAAGGAACCATCCCCTTCTCTGAGTAAAAGGATAAAAGGCAAGAGCTTAGTCTGTCACTGGAAGAATAGAAAAGAAGCTCCTATTCCCTCTACTTTCGGTGCCATGATGCTGCTTGTGGCCTTTTTGAATGCCTGAGTGGGGAAATCACAGTGGTGGCCATGGGTGGCTCTGGAAAAATGTTTACTTTCCCCTTTCTGTGGAATGACCTTCAACATTTTCATGGGTCATTTCACAATCCAGACTTTGGGGCTGCCAAATCTGCCCTCTGCTTATATATGCTAAGTGTGATGGAGTGTTCTCTGATGAGAATCAGGATAAAGGTGTTTTGATAAAAATCCAGAATTAAAACAGAAACATCAATATTCTAACTTCTCTAAAACCATTTACCAGAAAATTAACAAAGGTACAACCCTTTTAAGATCAAGGCAAAATTACAGGGCAAGCGTTGTTGCAGTTCCTTTTAGAAAGCAAGTACAAACAAGCGGGTTCCCATGCCCCTGTAATTTTAAGATTGCGGTGGGAGGATAGGGCACACCTTACTTGGACTCCAAAAAGAGTCTGTGAACAATTGTGTGGGTCTATGAGTCCTTTGATTAGGCCTGAAGGTGGGCAGAGAGCTCCAAATGCCTCTTTTTTTTGGGCAAAATGGGAGGTTGTATGACTGTTAGAGGAGCACTCTCTGTTTCAAAGGCTTGGAAGATCTCCCTGTTCCAGGTTGTTTTTTGGGAACTGGGTTAGCTCAGTAGACTTGATTTTGTATTGTCAAGAATTTATTTGATTACCTTTGATGCCATTTTTGATCTTTCAGGCTGAGATAAGCTATGTCTTCAAATCCGCAAGTACTGAAATTAAAAACTGATTTGGAATGATTTGAGAATTGTAAAAAAAAACCCTGTTATGTTCTAGAGATGGGAAACAACATGATCTAATTGATAGCCAAGCATTTGCAGTATAAAGTGGACAACGCACATAATTTAAGTGTTGGCTTTGGTTCCTGTCCCTTCTCTAGGAGTCTTGGATTCCTCCCCCTTGTATCCAAACAGATGCTGTGCTTCCATCATACAAAAGGAAAGCTCCCCCGGACTCTTCTATACGGGAAAGGCTTTTAATCATCTTTGATCCCCGTCCTTTGCCTCAAAATATCTTGGACAATTTATTAAGGTGAGATCTGATTGACTAAAAAAGCAAACTGGCTAAACAGGGATGCTTTAGATCCTTCTCTCTCTTAAAGCAAGGAAGTCTGCCAAAATTAATCAAAGTGAAGTATTGTTGGTGTGAATAACATCTGACATACTAGAAATAGCATTCCTTGTTTCAGCTTTTTTCTGAGAGCAAAATCTTAACAGCCAAGAAGTCTGGTATTTTAAAGATGTATGAATATTAAGCTTTTTGGGGCATATAAAAGCTTAATATTAGTAACTCTTCCATTTATTGCACATGCGATAAAACAGCATATTGTCTCATTTTATATCTTACCGTATACTATTTGCTCTCTTTCATTTTGTTTCAGCCGGTTTGAAAATTTTATAGCCAGTTGCCTTATCCCTGGGAAAAATGGAGCTTATGCCATGTTTGCAGAGAGAGCAAGTGCCAGTGATGCCATAGCTACGCTACATGGGAAAACTGTGAATGATGTGAAGTTGAAGGTGACACTGTCTGATCTGCCCACAGAGGACTTTTCTAAACGCCAGCGGTTATTCTGACCGGCCAGGTAAGTACCTAGGCTTTGGTGCTGCAGTGCTTCTAGATCTAGTTATGTACTGTAGTTGCTTCAGAGCTGTCCTTTCCCTTTGTTAACCTTCTCTTCAAGCTACTGAAATTTTCTCTTCATTAACCTTCCATAAAACTACAGGAATTAAGTCCTTGCCTCTAGAGATGTACAGTCTAAAAGCAGACATAAGGCAAATGAAAATAGAAGCAACTTTGATGATTTTATAAATAAGGATATAGCTATGAGTGTGAATTATTTTTTCACAAAACCATTTGGTATATTCTCAAATGTTTATGAAGCCTAATGGTATAATTTGAGTGATTGTTTAAACTGTATCAGTGCTGTGTTGTGAGGATAATGGTATGTACAACATATTCAGCTCCCTGGAGAAAAATAGAATGAAATGTATTTTACATTGAAATAATTTACACTGTATTCTGTGGACTTTAGCCTTGAAGAAATGTATATAATTCTGCTGCCAAAGACAAAGGCATTGGTGACTTTGAGGAGAAAAAGGATCAAATTGTGGTTTTCATCTTGGTTTGTTGTCATGGTTTGGATGTTAAAACAGGGAATTGTGGCTTGGCCATGACACAATTTCTTCATAAACTGTGGTTAGCTGGTATGTCTGAATCTGGGGTTCTTTTGTAAATCTGACATTCTTATCTCATTTAATCCAAATATTTTTTTATAATATAAATATTTTTTTAAAGTAATTAGAATTTTACAATGCTGTTGATTTTGATTATTTAATGTGTTGGTGATTCTCTTCAAGAAATACTTTTTGAGGAAAGAAAATGTGTAGCATTAACTTTTCTTTCACGTTATTGTTGAATACGTGAAGAAACCATTTGTCACATGTTTGAGAAAGGTTATGTTGGAAATGTATAAAATATTGTTAAGTTATACCAACATGGTTGTTGCCCGAATACCAGAATCACTTTGGCATTTATGGTCAATTGAACACAATTTGAATATGCTCAGTTAATGGTTTCAGAGATACATGCAAAGCTTACAATTTTTCTAAGGGCTTCTGAAAAGAATCTGAAGACCTTGCAACTTCCAGAAGTTATGGAAAACATGGCACTGGAGATATCAAGCCTTCAACTGAAAGGAGTGAAGACATATTGTACTGCAGTGATGCCTCTAGAAGCCGCATTGTGAATTTCAATGGTTTATTATGCTGGGTACTTCAATGTCCATGGCGAGTCTACCCTGTTTGTGGTGGCTCAGGACTTCATAGCCGCCATGATAACTATGGGTCTATCCCAAAAAATATTGGGGCCCATTCACATAGCTGGACACACTTAGGATCTAGTTTTCAACGTGGATGGGGACGGTATGGTTGGTGTGGAGGATCTTTCTGTGGTTCTATTGTCATGTCTATTGTTAGACTAACCACGCCTTCTAAAGATGGTCCACTCCAGAAGACCCTATGGATTCCTGATGTCTCTTAGGGATGTTCCTGTCATAGTGGCAGATGGCCCTGTCGAAGCCTTTGCTGATCTCTGGAACATGGAGACAACCAGGGCAGTGGACAGGATCGCTCTTGTCCACTGCCAATTCAGCTCCTAGTCGCAGTCTGGTTTTAGGCCTGGTCATGGAACTGAGACAGCTTTGGTTGCCTTGGTAGATGACCTCCGCAGAGAGCTAAACAGTATGTTCCTTCTGGTTTCCCTGGGTCTCTCAGCGGCTTTTGATACCATTGACCATCGTATCCTTCTGGGTCGGCACTCCAGAATGGGTCTTGGGGCACTACTATGCAATGGCTCCGCTCCTTCCTTGAGGATTGTACCCAGATTGTGATGCTGCGGTGCACCTGCTTGGGCCTCTGGCCATTGACCTGTGGGGTCCTGCAGGATTTGATTCTATCCCCCATGCTTTTAAATACCTAAATGAAACTGCTGTGTGAGGTCACCTGGAGTTTTGGATTTAGGTGTCATCTCTACGTGGGTGACACACAACTCTATTACTCTTTCCCAGCTCAACAAAGGAAGCTCTCTGGGTTCTGGACCAGTGCCTGACAGCTGTGATGGACTGGATGTGGACTAACAAGCTGAGGCTAAATCCTCAAGACAGAGGTCCTCCCCGTCAGTCATGTGGCCGATCGGGGTATAGGGTGGTAACCTGTGCGTGATGGGGTTACACTCCCCCTGAGGACACAGGTCTGCAGTTTGGGGGTCCTCCTAGACTTGGTGCTCAGCTGAGTCCAGGTGTTGACGATGGCCGGGAGGGCCTTTGCACAACTAAAGCTTGTGCGCAAACTGCAACTGTACCTTGAAAAGCCAGATCTGGCCACCGTGGTCCACGTCTTAGTTACATCTCAAATGGATTACTGTAATGCACTCTGTTTTAGGCTGCCTTTGAAGATGGCTCGGAATGTACAATTAGTACAAAGATCAAAAAACAGGCTACTGACTGGGGCTAGCTTTAGGGAGCACACCATGCCCCTCTTAAAGCAGTTCCACTGGCTGCCTCTAAATTTCCAGTCCCAATTCAAAGTGCAAGTCATTACCTACAAAGTCCTACACTGTTTGGGTCCAGCCTATCTACGTGACTGCATCTCCCTCTATGAACGTGTGCAGGCTCTAAGATCTGCTTGGGATACCTTCCTCTCGGTCCTGCCGCCATCTCAAACGTGGCTGGTTGGAACAAGGGAGAGGGTCTTCTCAGCCGCCCTGCCCTCCGGCTCTGGAATGCTCCCCAGGGAAGTCACGCAAGCCCCCACTCTTCAGTCTTTTTGGAAGGAACTGAAGACATGGCTACTCAAGCAGGCCTTTGAAAGTGGTTAAGGTATCACCTATAATGGATGATGCAAATAAAATGCTAACCTGGCATTTTAATGTTGATATTTTAATCTGTTTTGTGGCTGGGACAGTGACTTGGTTCATATAGTCTGTTTTAACTATAATCTTGTTCTATTTTATTGTTATTCCACTTTGATTGACATATGTTATATTAACCCTGACAGTTTAATTTTATGTTACTTGTATTGATTTTATTTATTTTTGTGTATATTTTATGTATTTTACTCTGTTTTATGTGCCTTGTAAGCTGCCCCAAATCCTCTTGGGGAAATGGGGTGAGATACAAATAAAATTGTTGTTATTTATTTTTTATTTTAGGTTGTAAGCTTGAGGGCAGGGATGTGTTTTTTCTCGTCTTTCTCTTGTAAAGCATGTATAGTTTTCTTATAAATAATGTACAGTGGTGCTGCCGTTTAAATAGATAATCATAAAATAATCATAAAATAGATAAGCATAATAGTAATAATTTTGGAGCAATTCTACTTATCTTAAACTAAAATATGAGAATTTGTGGATTCACCTGTCTACTTCCATGATTATTGGAGCTACTGGATGCTATTCCACTTGTAATAAGAATACAATGATACCTTGACTTATGAGTTTAATTTGTTCTGTGACTGAGCACTTAACTCAAATTGCTCTTATCTCAAAGCAGTTYCCCCCTTTGTTCTGCCTTTCAAATAGATCCTGGTCTTCTTGTCCATGATAGTGTTAGAACTGATTTGACAATCCCATTGAATACAGTACTATTGACTCATAATTCACCACCCACCAGCACCCCCCCCCCCCAGGTCACTCTTGACCAAAAAAAAATGGTATTTGTGCATTTGCACAAGAACCTGGCGTGTCCAGTTCAATTTGCAATAAGAATCAGGTGGTCTGTAAAGTAACCCTGCTAAAACTGAATTTAAAGGGTGAAATATCTATCAAACATATTCTCATGCAGCTCAACAATGTCCTCTAGATCAGGCGATCAGTAAGGTGTCCTGTCCCCTCCCMCCCCCCCCCCCACCCCCTGCAGCCCAGTGGGTCAGAATCCAGCACCATATTTGTGCCCATTGTACGAGTTCTCTTATTTATCAGGACTCTTATGCAAGAGTTTTTGTATCCAGATGTATTTTTACAATGTTTAAGAATGTTGTCACTATGAAAAATTGTATATGTGTAGTTTTGATTCATGACTGTTTTTATCACAACTCTGTGGTAAATAATGTTAGTGATTGCTGGAACACATCTGTTTTTAAAAGAGCAGTGATAAAGACAGAGGACACATTTGCCATCTTTCCAGTACTATTGGACGCGGGTAGACAGTACTGCTGTATTTTTACACAGCGAGTATGCTGTCCGATATTGTTGAACTCCTGAGCACTTAAAATGGTATAATTAGCATCATTTTATGTCCTTATCGTGTATTTTGAAATTTAGCTCAAATTTCTTATAAGTGATAGATGTACCATATATACTCGAGTATAAGTCAACCCAAATATAAGCGGAGGCACCTAATTTTACCACAAAAAACTGGAAAAGCTGATTGGATTGAGTTTAAGCCGAGGGTGGGAAATGCAGGTGTTATTGGGAGACACCTGTTCAACCCCACAGCCATTGTCTTGTGTGCCAGCTGCGCCCGTACCTTGGGAAGTCTGACTTGGCCACGGTAGTCCACGCTCTGGCTAAATCCCGTATAGACTACTGCAACGCTCTCAATGTGGGGTTTCCTTTGAAGACTGTCCGGAAGCTCCAGATGGTCCAGCGAGCGGCAGCCATGTTGCTAACGGGAGCAGCACACAGGGAGCACACAACTCCTCTGTTGCGCCAGCTTCACTGGCTGCCAGTCTGCTACCGGGCACAATTCAAAGTGCTGGCTTAGCCTATAAACCCCTATCTCTCCTTATGAACCATCTAGGACTTTAAAATCACCTGGGGGGGGGGGGGCTGCTCTCAATCCCGCCTTCCTCGCAAACGCGTTTGGCAGGGACGAGAGACAGGTTCTTCTCAATGGTGGCCCCTCGGCTATGGAACGCCCTCCCTAGGGATATAAGATCAACTCGCTGCTTTCTAACATTCTGCAAGATGGTTAAGACCTGGCTTTTTGAGCAGGCTTTTTACTACTGGAGCATAATTAGATGAAAATGAATCATGGAATGTCTGATGATGCAATTGGATGACGATTTCAGTAAGGAGACGTTGAGGATTTTTTATAGATATTATTGTTTTTTATATTTTTAATGTTGAACTGTTTTTATAAGTATTTTATAGTTGTTTTTAACTGTACCCTGATATTGGTTATGGAATTGAATCGCTGCCACCTTGAGTCGTCTCTGGCTGAGAAAGGCGGTATACAAATGAAATAAATAAATAAATAAATACTGGTAAATTTCAAAATAAAAATAGATACCAATAAAATTACATTAATTAAATGCTTTTAAATATTTACCATATTTCAAAGAAAAACAGTAAACTTCAGATATGATAAAAACGTATCTTTACTCACAATACGTGTAAATCAATATTTCTAAAATTGTATTTATGTTCTTCTACAGAACAGTTCCATCAAGATTGTTCAGTATTTTGTAATTTTTCCATTACATCAAGAATTGTACCAGGGCCATTCAGTACTTCGTGCTGTTTTTCTGCAAAACAGAGAACATCAACAAAACTGTCTGCTGAAGACTGAAAAACCTTTTTCAATATATGGAGCTAAGAAGTCTAGTTTTGTGAAAATCCTTATTTCTAATTGAACTGTGGTTATAACATTTGTTGTGAACCATTCATCATTCTTTGTTATAATAATAACTGATGATCTGACAATTTGATGGAAATTTATGACATTATTTGAAGGTATTAATGGTACTGTTGGTTGTTTAGATTGCTATCTTGAATAAACGGAGAGGCAGATTTTTTATGCAAGGAGTACAAATTCATGATATTCCACAAATCTGACAAGGAGCACAATGCTGGAAACCATTGCTTCCATGTGACAAACTTTTAACATGATTAAATGTCTCTAAAAAATGTGTTTTGCTATCCTTTACAGCAATAAGAGCCATTGAGTGGTTCTATAGGATGTTATGTGATTGTTGGACAACATTTTAGCTGTATCTGCACTGCATTTTTACAATATTCTAATTTGTTCAAATGACTGTAATAAAGGAATTCACATGTATGGTAATAATAGGAGTCAAAGGCCAACAACAAACAGAACCCTTGTTCTAGTGCCATGAAGTAAATGGATGTCACTAACTGACCACATGCTCTAGGGCTTGTATCTTCCCATTTGATTCTTTCTGGTTACTACAGAAATAATCTGGCCCAGAATTTTCGAATATTTCAGTTCGGCATTTTTATTCTCTCCAGCCTTTCTTCGTACCTTTTTTTTTTCATTCTCTTCCTGCTTTCAGTTCTCTCTATTTTGTTGCATGTTGTCCTGGTATCTTTGTTACAATTATTCTTTAAGTTGTGGCTTATTTTGGAGGCAAACTAGAAAAGTCTTTGCACTAGAGAAGCCCAGTTGTCACGACTAGAGTTTGTGTCTTGTATTATCACTGACATGCTAATGATTTTGGTCTGATAAAGGGAGTACTAGCCAACACCCCCCAAAAAAGTCTTCCACCCACCCCAAAAATCTGAGAGCCATCAAGTTGAAGAGAGTAGCATTAAGTTGTTTATTAAGCCTAACTTTATAGTTGCTAGTCCATAGCATTATTGGGAAGCCTGGTCCAGTCCTAAAGTGTTCTTTTTCCAAGATAGCTGAGAGCTGTATGATAATATTTGTTCTGTTTACCTCTGCATGTTTGCCAAGAACAATTAAACTTTTGTAATAATCATTTGGTGTTAATTCCAACAAATAGCAAGATCTCTTGAGGTCCTCACAGAACCAATTTGTTGATAGTTTTGGTCAACCAAAACCTCAATCAGACTCTTGTATTATTTGCCCCTTTTATTCTTTATTTTGAGGTCAGCCATTACACTTGAGGTCAGGGCACCCATTTCTGCAGCCACCATTATTTCCTATTCCATTTCCTTCTTCCTGAAGAGACTCGAGGCCAACAGAGACATCTATGAGCACCACTACTGAAGAAGAAACATCCACAAGGCTTCCTTTTCCACTGACATTTTATTCTTTTGGATAAATGTAGCTACAACGTACAATGTAGCTGCAATCCAAGATAAGAACAGCTGCTCTGACCCAAAGGGTAGCCATGTAACAGATGCTCTAGTGGAGCTGGCCTAAACAAGCACCTTCCCTCAGGCCCAGCATTGCAAGTGGACCTTTCATGGCTGCAGGTGGTTGAAGAGCAGCAGCAAAAATGTTTCACCTAAAAGATGTATGTGACTTTGGAGATAATTCTTGCACTTGTAACTTGTTATATTTGAGACTGTCTATGGAGATGACATTGAAGTTCAGCAAATATAGAAGCAACAGCAAGGACTTCCACCAGGATTGCCAGATGGAATCCAAGATCTACAGGAACAGCTCTCTTAGCAGCTTTCAATGACTTAAGAACATCAGGAGCAGCTCCTCTCCAAGAACTGTGGCTATGTTACACACGAATATAAAGACGAACACCTTTACAGCTGTGGCACCACAACATGGACTCTCCTCCCACAGAGGTGCAACTGAAATGAACACTCGCGTTGTTTTGACACCAGTTTGAACTATTTCTATTTGCCAAGCCATTTGAATTGGCTGCTTCAGCATTTTTACTGCTTTTGTTTTGATGACTTTTTTTGGAGTTGTGGGTTGAATGATACCTTATTGTATTAACCCTTGCTTCTGTACTTTACCCTTCTATTTGTAAATATGAAAGGTATTTTTATAATATTGTAACAAGATTGATAACTTGGGGTGGGAGTGAGTCCTACCCAATCTTCTTTTTTATCTTGGGAGTTTGCCTTCCCTCATACTATGCTGTGGAGCACAGTGCATGAAATTGCCAGCTGTGCCCCTTGAAGTCTCTAGGAGAGCTTTGGAACCAATAATTTATTTGCTTGGACAGTTCTCTATATTCCTGTGTAAGCACAGAGCCCATAGAAGCAGAGCTTGAAGAACCAAATACAGGTAAGCAGCCCATCCCTTTTGTTGCAGGGGCAATGCCATCTCTCCTTCACTTGGTAGTTCATTCATTGTGTTACAATGTGAAATGTGCTGATGGCAATGACAAGTGTTGGATATCAGTAATGGAAATTGTCACTGGTATCTTCTCTCTCCACTGTCTGTACCATTGTATAAATACCTTTTAAGAAAATAAAATTTTCCACCTAGTTGAATACTGCCTAGTTTCCTGCCTTCATATTCTTAATAGACTTTCAGTGGGCGACCTCAGTTTCGTGTCCTGGCTCTGGCTGATCAAAACAATATTGCATTCACGATTCAATGTATTTAGGAGCTTTTTTATAAGACAATCAGGCTCCATGAAAATGCATCCCTCAACGTATAAGAAGTTGAATGGGTATGTCATCTGTAGATCTGGGAAATAAAAAAAAAATTTTTAAGGAATTTATCACCTGCCAGCAACAACAAACAAATGCCTACACAATTTCCCAGAGGCTGTATAAACATACCTAGTGCACCCTTTCATCCCAGTTAAGGGAGAGGTCATTAACTGTTCTACAATGATTGAACACAATGCCATGGCATCTATGCAGTTGGCTGTGCACCTGTGAGAGCTAGTAAAATGTTGCTGGTACTTAGAAGTGTATTGTTGTTGTTGTTTATTTATACCCCACGTTTTCTCTCTCCCAAGAGACTAAAAGTGGCTTACAATAAAAGCATTTCCATACAATTTAAAATATACAAACATTAAAATAGAATTAGATATAATTGCTATTAAAAATTCAGTCAAAATGTTCAGTTTACAACATAGCTAAAACACACAATCATTTCCAAACATTCCCTAGAATACACATATTAAAACATATTTCCATAAAATATATACTAAAATACACAAAACAAGAGTTAGATAAATAGTGGAAGTTTAAACTTTATCATTAAAACTATCTGGGTCGGCTTGCTGGAAGAAATAGGTCTTCACTTGTGTCTTAAATTCTGACAGCTGATCTAGCTGTCAGAGCTCTACCAGTATGTCGTTCCACAGTTGTGGGGCAGCCAATGAAAAAGTCCTCTTGGTGACAGTTGCCGGTTGGGTTCTGGCAAGCTGGAGCAGACTCCCTCCAGAGGATCTCAGTGTTTGGGGTAGAGTATATGAGAGAAGGCGATCCTGTAGATAACCTGCAGCCAAGCCATGCAGGGCTCTAAAGGACAATACCAACCTTATACTTTGTCCAAAAACTAATTGTCAGCCAGTGGAGTGACTTTACGATAGGTCTAATATGCTCACTCCTAGATGTTCCTGTAACCAATCTGGCTGCCATGTTTTTATATAAAAGCACCTCTGTCTTGTTTGGAGGAAGTTTCAATTTGTTTGCTCTCATGCAGTCAATTACTGATGACAGACACTGGTTTAGAGTCAAGACATCTTATCTTGGCTTTAGGTGAGAAGGAGTAGCAGAGCTGGGTGTCATCTGCATATAGATGGTATTGCATTCCAGGTGGCTTCTCCCAGTGGTTTCAGAATGAGGAACAAAACAGAACTCTGAGGAACCCTACAGGACAATGGCCAGGAGTTCGAACAGGAGTCCCCCAGCACCACCTTCTGGGTACGGCCCTCCAGGAAGGAAGACACGTGAAACAGCCTTTCAGTCCCAATCCAGTGAGATGACCCAGAAGGATACCATGGTCAATGGTATCAAAATCCAGGAGATCCTGGACCAACAGGGATCCAGTGTATCCCTGTTGGTCCAGGAGAACCAACAGGGATACACTCCCGCTGCAGCTCTCTGGATAGGTCATCCACCAAGGCGGCCAAAGCTGTCTCTGTTCTGAAGCCTGGCATGAAACCAGACTGCAATGGATCTAGATAATTGATTTCATCCAGAAATGCCTGCAGTTGGGAGGCCACCACACGTTCCAAAACCTTTCAAGCCAAAATCCTATTGGCTTTTTTAGCTGCAGCATAGAATCATAGAATTGGAAGAGATCTCATGGGCCATCCAGTCCAACCCCCTGCCGAGAAGCAGGAAAATTGCATTTAAAGCACCCCCGACAGATGGCCATCCAGCCTCTGTTTGAAAGCTTCCAAAGAAGGAGCCTCCACCACACTCCAGGGCATTACATTGTTGGCTCATATTTAACTTCTTGTCCTCAAGGACTCCAAGATCTTTTTCACACGAGCCAGGCGCCTCCCTTCTGTATCTTTGCATTTCATTTTTTTTCTGCCTAAGTGGAGCATCTTGCATTTGTCACTGTTGAACTTCATTTTGTTAGTTTTGGCCCATCAATCAGGGCTAGCTAACAGTTCCCAACAAAGGATCCCCTCCAGGCAGGAAGCAGCCAGGCTTTGAAGCTGCAAGGCCATTCAATGCTAATCAAGCTGGCCAATTGCTACATTCATGTTTGCCTCAAGCAGACAAGTTTTTTTTCTCCCACCCTGGACATTATTCCACAGATATATAAACCTCCCTTGCTTAGTTTCCAACAGACCTCGCAACCTCTGAGGATGCCTGCAGCCATAGATGTGGGTATTTATTTATCGTGTCATGAGCAGACCAAACAGTTGTGTTGCATTTTAACACAAAAACTAACAAAACCAAAGTTTGCAAGCTTGGTAATTGATTAAATGTCCTTTGACCAGTATCTGGCCACTTGGAGTGCCTTTGACGTTGCCGTAAGGAGGACCTCCATTGTGCATGTAGCAGGGCTCAAGTTGCATCGCAGCAGATGGTCTGTAGTTTGCTCTTCTCCGCAGTCGTATGTTGAGGATTCCACTTTGTGACCCCATTTCTTGAGGTTGGCTCTGCATCTCGTGGTGCCAGAGTGCAGTCTGTTTAGCGCCTTCCAAGTCGCCCAGTTTTCTGTGTGCCCAGGAGGGAGTCTCTCATTTGGTATCAGCCATTGATTGAGGTGCTGGGTTTGAGCCTGCCACTTTTGGACTCTCGCTTGCTGGGGCGTTTCAGCGAGTGTCTCTATAGATCTTAGAAAACTATTTCTTGATTTAAGTCGTTGATGTGCTGGCTGATACCCAAACAAGAGATGAGCTGGAGATGTCACTGCCTTGGTCCTTTAATTATTGGCTGCTACTTCCCGGTGGAACTTCCTGGCTGTGAGAGCCGTTCAGCAGTGGAACTCTCTGCCCTGGAGTGTGGTGGAGGCTCCATCTTTGGAAGCTTTTAAACAGAGGCTGGATGGCCATCTGTCAGGGGTGCTTTGAATGCAATATTCCTGCTTCTTGGCAGGGGGTTGGACTGGATGGCCCATGACGTCTCTTCCAACTCTTTGATTCTATGATTCTGTCAGGTGGTGCAATACCGGCTAGAGAGTGTAATTTCCCCAGTGGCGTAGGGCGCAGACACCCCGTGGGTTATAATGTGGGTGAAATGTCAGGAGAGAATGCTTCTGGAACATGGCCTTACGGACTGGGAAGTTCTGGTGTAGATGCGCGCGCGCAGACACCCATACAAAGCCGGCCTTTAATGTCTTCCGGTCCTGAGGAGGTACTTCCGGCGGAAGCCAAAGGGGGCGGAAGCGCCTGTCGCGGTTGGAGCGGCCGCTCTTGCCTCTCCCGGAGGGGGGGGGGAGAGAGGGAGAGAGAGAGCGCGCGGCCTGGGCGCCCCCATGGCCCTGCCCCCGGCCCCTTTCCCCTGGACCTTCCGGCCTGGCTGCCCGAGCTACGCCACCTTCGACCGGCCTCCCTACAGCCGCCTCGTGGTGATGGTGAGAGGGACGCCGCACATCTCGTCCGTGGCGCCGCACTTCGCCTCCTTCGGAGAGGTGGAGGAGATCTGGGGCGCGCACACCGACCTCAACCACTGCCTCCAGGGCCCGGTCTTCGTCAAGTTCGCGCGCAGCTCCCAGGCCTTGCGCGCCCTCGAGGCCTTCCGCGGAGCCCCCCTCCTCGCCTTCCCCCGCTTCGACCAGGTGAGAGAGAGAGAGAGAGAGAAGGGAGGGCTCCGTTGGGGACCCCGGCCCTTCCTTTCCTATCTTATGGGTCTTGAGCAGCTATGGGCAAGCGCAGGCCCCTTGGGCTCTTTTCTCAGGCCCTCCTCTCGCTCACCATCCTATCCTTCCAGGCCTTGAACCGGTGTTTGGCTGCTGTGTCGGACTGGATGAGAGCTAACAAATTGAAATTGAATCCAGACAAGACAGAGGTCCTACTGGTCAGTCGTAAGGCCGAACAGGGCATAGGGTTACAGCCTGTGTTAGACAGGGTTACACTCCCCCTGAAGACGCAGGTTCGCAGCTTGGGAGTGATCCTGGACTTCATCGCTGAGCCTGGAACCTCAGGTCTCAGCGGTGGCTGGGAGAGCTTTTGCACAATTAAAACTTGTGCGCCAGCTGCGCCCGTACCTTGGGAAGTCAGATCTGGCCACGGTGGTCCACACTCTTGTTACATCCCGATTGGATTACTGCAACGCGCTCTACGTGGGGTTGCCTTTGAAGACTGCTCAGAAACTTCAACTAGTCCAGCGAGAGGCAGCCAGATTGCTCACCGGAGCGGCATACAGGGAGCATACCACCCCCTGTTGTGCAGCTCCACTGGCTGCCGATCCAATTCCGAGCACAATTCAAAGTGCTGGTTTTGACCTACAAAACCCTATACGGTTCCGGCCCAGTGTATCTGTCCAAACGGATCTCCCTCTACATCCCACCTCGGAGTTTAAGATCTTCTGGGGAGGCCCTGCTCTCGACCCCGCCAATCACAAGTGAGGTTGGCAGGGACGAGGAGCATGGCCTTCTCAGTGGTGGCCCCTCACCTGTGGAACTCACTCCCCGGGGAGATTAGATCAGCATCCCCTTTTGTCATTCAGGAAAAAACAGAAGACCTGGATGTGGGACCAAGCCTTTGGGCATTCTGGCAGCTAAAGGAAAAACCCGAGGATGAGCAGGAATTGATGGAATGGAATGGACATTCGGAACTCTGAACACTGAGCATGAGATTGTTTATGTATTGATGTTTTTAATCTGTTAATTTGCTTAAATTGTTTTTGTATGTTTTGTATATTTGATATAGGCATCGAATTGTGCCTTCGTTTGTAAGCCGTCCTGAGTCCCCCCTCGGGGGTGAGAAGGGCGGGGTAGAAGTAATTGAAATAAATAATAATAATTCCGTCTCTCTTTGCTTCTTCCTTCCATCTCTCTTTCTCCTTCCCTTCCATCCTTTCGTCCTTTCTTGCTTTCCCCTTTGCCTTTCCTTCCTTTTCTCATTCCTCCCACCCTCCATTCCCTTCCTTCCTTCCATCTCTCCCTCCCTCCCTTATTTATTTACACACATTGCTGTGACCCAGTCTGTGTATATGTCTGTCTATATAGGCATGTGTGTGTGTGCAGGGCCGTAGCCAGAAAAAAATTTCGGGGAGGGTTGACAATTTCGGCAGGGGGGTTGAAAATTTCGGGGCTGGGGTTTGAAAATTTTGGGGAGGGTTGAAAATTTCGGGGGGGGGGGGGGGGTGGGGTTGAAACCTGCCTCCTAGCTCACGCTGAAGCAAAGAGCACAGCAGGGGGCAGAGCAACCTTCAATAGCCTGCAGCTCCGCCCCTGTCAACCACCTCCACCAAGTCTGGCCTCCTTAATGAGAGCATTCAACACACACACACCCAACTTGGTTGCTTCACTACATCGGCTATTGCTGCAAGTAATGACAGTGTGAATAAATTGTCAATATTTGCTTGAGATAGTGCTTACAGTTCTGGAGGGACTCTTAATTTTTTGCATCTCATAGACTTAGCATGGGGATTTGGTTAACCAGTTAAAATTAATGAGTAAACCAGTTTTTTAAAAAAAATCTGAAACATTTCGGGGGGGGGGGTTGAACCCCTAAACCCCCCCCCCCTCCCTCGCTACAGGCCTGTGTGTGTATATATATTTGTGAGTATATATGTGTGTTTGTGTATATATGATTTTGCACATGCGTTGTGCTGTTGCATGCTGGACCTGTGCATCAGACTGTAGACAGGACATAAATTCTGTGTGCCCAACGAGACGCCCGGGCAGTCTCAGATTAAAGGCCTTTGGATTTCCTTAAAACACAGTCTTTAGATTGCTTAAAGGTTCGACAAAGTTCTTTATTATTGAAAACAAACAGGTACTTTAAGGCTTTCTTAACAGTCTATAGGCTCTTTCAATCTTGTCCACAGGGAACAGGCACTATCTTCTTAACTGTAACTAATGGGGAAATCCTTAACTTCTAATCTGGGCAGTCTGTCTTTGCCTCTGTTGGTGTGGAGCCCCTACACCCGGTACCAACTGCTTCTGGCTTCCGTGAGAGACCCTTACCAAGCAGAGCTTTGTAGACTTCCAGGGGGAAAGAACTCATGTTTCCATGATGGCTGAATGAAGTCCTTCAGCAAAGGAGCTGTAAGGCTGTATGATCCTTGGCCAAGCTGTGGGCTGTATAACCCCGACCAAGCTGTAGGCTGTATATCTCCCCGACCAAGCCGTAGAAGGCGAAGCTTTCTACAGGAGCTCTTGGTATTATGTCCTGCATGGAAAGCTTCTCTGTGTGGACTGAACCCAAACTGGCTCCTTTTCCCTCCAAAAACCCAAAAGGGGGCGGGACCAGGGAACCTAACTATAATTGACAGGTGGCTTGCCCTATGATTGCAGCCAAAAGAAGCCACCTATCTGCAGAGCCCCTGAAACTTAGGACTGCAACAAACATTCAATGCAAAGCAAACAAAATAGGAGCTCCTGGTACAGCTGTACCTGCACATGCGTTGTATTTTTTTGCTTCCTTTTGCCTTTTTAAGTCCCTTCTGTTGTGTTTTTCAGTGTTTTTATGAGTGATGGACACTCGTTGGCCTGATAGGCGTCTTGTGTCCAAATTTGGTGTCAATTCGCCCAGTGGTTTTTGAGTTATGTTAAATCTGAGTCCATAACATATACAGTGTTCCCTCGCTACTTCACGATTCGCTTATTGCGGACTCGCTATATTGCATGGAGCAGCAAGGGAACACTGTATAACTGCTCCCCGTTCCTTTCCTCGCCAGGCTGGGTGCCCAAGGGCGCCCAACCTGGTGAGGAAGGGACCCTCCAAGGCTTCCCCCTCACCCCTCCGCTGCTCCGTGCTCCTTCCTCGCCAGGCTGGGTGCCAGGCTTGGGTGCCCAGCCAGGTGAGGATAGGACCCTCCAGACAGGGAGAATGGAAGTGGCAAAGAGGAGGAGGCCACTGCCAAAAAGGGCCGTGGTGGCGGCAGCTTCCCCCCTCACCCCTCCGCTGCTCCGTGCTCCTTCCTTACCAGGCTAGGTAACAGGAAGGGACCCTCCGGGTACGGAGCAGCAGAGGTGGTGAGGAGGAAGCCGCTGCCTAAGAGGGCTTTGGCGGCAGTTGCTTCCCCCTCGCTTCTCTGCGACTCCGGGCACAGAGCAGCGGAAGTGGTGAGGAGGAGGCCGCTGCGAAGTAGGCACACTCTGCCCACTCGAGTGGGCGGAGAAGCCCTACTTTGCGGATTTTCACTTATCACAGGTGGTCCTGGGACGGAACACACGTGATTAGGGAGGGATTGGTGTAACTATAAATTAAAACCACAGTATTTTCTGTTGGTGATGGGGGTTCTGTATGGGAAGTCTGGCCCAATTCTATCATTGGTGGGGTTCAGAATGCTCTTTGATTGTGGGCAAACTATACATCCCAGTAACTACAACTCCCAAATATCAAGGTCTATTTCCTCCAAACTCCACAAACCATCAAACATAACCATACTTTAGTTTAGACATTGCATCAATCCTGTGGTTGTCTTTTAGCTGCTTCAGTATTGTTATCAATCACTGAAAGCTTGCTTGCATAGCCAAGTTTTAAGCAGTTTTCTGAACACCAGGAGGGAGGGGGGCTGATCTATTTTTTTTGAGGAGAGAGTTCCACAGTCGAGGGGCCACTACCAAGAAGGCCCTATCTCTCATCCCCACCAATCACACCTGCAAGGGTGGCGGGACTGAGAGCGGGACCTCCCCAGCTGAACTTAAGACTTTAATTGGCTCATAAAGGGATATGTGTCCAGACAGGTTAGCTGGACCGGTATCATTTAGGGATAAGTAGGGTTTAAAACAAAACAAAACAAAACCACCTCAATATTAAAATGTTGCTCCTTTCCTCCCTCCCTTCTTTCCCTCCCTCTTTCTCCTTTCCTTCCCTTCTACCCTTTCATCCTTCCTTCCCTCTTTACTTCCTCCTTCCCCCTCTCTCTTTTCCTTCCTTCCTTCCTTCCTTCCTTCCTTCCTTCATTCATTCATTCATTCATTCATTCATTCCCTTTTATCTTTCCTCCCTCCCTCTCTCCCTCCATTTCCTTCCATCCTTCTTCCCTTCCTTCTTTCTCTTTTTCCTTTCTCTTTTCCTCTTGGTGAAAGTTTACCTGGGAGAAGAGAAGGTAGAGAGGGAACATGAGAACCATCTTTCAAGATTTCAAAGGGTGTGCCATTGAGGAAGAAGAGGGGGAAAACGGACTTTCTACTGCTCTAGAGCACATGAGAGCAATGGTTTCACATTGCAGGGAAAGAGATTTGACTGAAAAGATTAGGATGAACCTCCTGAGAGTAAGAGCTATTGGAGAGTGGCATAAGCAGTCTTGGAGTGTGGCGGAGTATCCTTCTTTGGAGGCTTTTCCACAGAGGCTGTCTATCGGGAGTGCTTTCATTGGGCCTTCCTGTATGACGGGGGTTGGACCGGATGGCCCTTGTGGGTCTCTTCCCCCTCTGTGATTCTCGGATTCTATATCAGGAGTAGGCAATAAATCCGGGGTCTAATGGAAATGCTTTTTGGAAAATGGAAAATTTCAATGCCTTGTGAAACACAATACAAGCAGTCCCCAAGTTACTAACAAGATAAGATTCTGTAGGTTTGTTCTTAAGCTGAATTTGTTTGCAAGTTGGAACATGTGCACCTTTTAAGTGTGACTCCAGCCAAAAACATATTTTTTAGTTTTGAAGGGTTTTTTTTCTTTTGTTTTTTTGCTGTCTGGCCCATGTTCAGAAAATTTCGCCTCACTTTGTGTCCCTGGGATAATTAGATTTTGAAAAAAATGGCTTCTTGTGGAAACAAGGATTGGTGAGAAAGTTTCAGCGGAGACCCTGTTTCTCCGTGATAACTTTTCCAGAAGTGGATTTCCCTTTTTAGGAGTAGATTTCTCTCACTTTCTGTGGTCTCTTGTCATTAGTAAATTGGATGTTTGCAACTCGGGGACTGCCTGTATACTATTGTACTTGACATACACAATTCCTTACCACTTCTGCTTAGTACCTTTGTGCAGATCTCTTTAATGCAACATCAGTTGTCATTTGCTGAAAATCACTGACTAGAGCATTGCCATAGTCTCCTTCTGAATAATGAAATCAGAGATTAATAGATAATTGTCAGATTTTTGGACCATTCTCCATGCTAGCTGGAGACAATAGGAATTGAAATTTTTACTTACATTTGATTCAATCTATCAGAGGATTTTATGAGCTGTGGATGTGAATTTAACTATAAACAACTACAGATCATCCTAGCTTCATTTCATTGCTTATACTGATGTAACAACTAGATGCTCACTGAAAGCTCATGGACTTCTCCTTCCTTAGTTATGCTGAAGCCATTTAAGGTAATTTGGCTGTTACTGTTATGATATTTGAGCAATATTGCTAAATTATAACATGATGCATCAGCGTGGGTCCCCTTCTGCTTTGAGGGCATGATTTGGGAACCAGCATTGAACCTTGCTAAATTATTAAAATTAAGGAACTGTCATTGTAGGTTATGACATTATTATTCTTTCCAATTTAGATGTATTTGGCTCAAAGCAGAGTTCCTGGAAAACCATATGAACTGGATACGGATCTTCAGAAATTAACTGTAATACATGTCGCAGTCCCGAGGTCTTTTACTGAAAATGTCTTGGCAAACAAATTTAAGGTACGAATGCAGCATTAACACTGTGTTTCCATAATGCATTCTTAGTCCACTAAAGATCTAGAATGTCATTTTTGTATCTAGTTTTAAGTGACTGCCAAATTATTTCATCTGATTTTTAATATATATTATATATAGGTCTATGGAGTTATTGTTTCATGTGTCATCATAAGGATCGAGTTTGGAAAATCTAAAGATTTAGGATACGTAGGATTTTCAGTGCCATCTGAAGCTGCTTTGGCCATAGAGGAGTGTGACAAAAGTAAGAGATTATTTTCTCCCCTTCTTCTAGCAGTCGTGGGATAAAATTCTGTCTTTTAATTGAAGAATTTGTATAGAAGTAGTCCTACAAACATTAGACATTGCTATCTGCTCGTTGTCCCTAAACTGCATCCTTTTATAGTGTTATTTTCTCAACATCACAACATACTGTTTTGTTGGGGTACATTCTTGTCCCAGCCAGTGCTGTGGTTTTTAAAAAGAAAAAGACCCTGATCCAGACAAAGTTATTTAAGTCCTCATACTGAGGCCTCATCTACATTGCCGTAGAAAATACAGATTATCTGCTTTGAACTGGATCAGGCATGGCCAAACTTTTAACTTGGAGGTCACATGGTGAGCCAGAGCTGGGTGGGTGGGCCGGGCATGGAAGGTTGGTTCAGGAAGGAGAGTTTCATACATGGCAGCTTGCCTGGTCCATGATTGTGCCCAGGAAGTTGTGCTCATCAGTGCTAGCCTTGGGCAGAGCCTCTTCCTGGCCTGCACCTTGGCCTCCGCTGCCACAGGACTCAGCTGCTCCTCATTAGCACACTCCCCTTCTTCTGGGCCTCTGCCCCCAGTGACAAGGAGAGCAGCTCCTCTTCCTCCTCCTCCACTGCTGCCACCTGGGCATGCGGCTGTCTAGGGTTCTCCTTCCCTTTCTTCCTGCTCCTGTTGTTCTTCTTTCTGAGGGAGAACTTGTCCTTGAGAAAGGTGGTGGCAGCAGAGGAGGAAGAGGAGGTGGAAGAGGAGCCACCCTCCTTGTTGAAAGGTGTGGAGGCCTGGAGGAAGGGGAACGTGCTGGCTCCATGCTCACCAGTGAGGATCAGCGAAGTCCCGTGGAGATGGAGGCCAGGAAGCAGCTCTGCCGTGTGAGACTTTCCTGGTCTCCTCTCAGCATGAGGACGTGGGTAGGCTGGCACGTCCTCATTCTTGTAGGAAGGTGAAAGAGAGGAGGGCCTGAGAAAAGAGCCGAAAGGGCTGCATCCGTCCCCGGGCCTGGGGTTACCCATATCTGAACTGGATTAATGGCATTTTTAATGAATCATCATATATTTGGATATTGCAGGAGTAACTTTTTAAACTTTTAAAAGCCCCGAGAGGCCTTATTTTGACCTATTTTCAAATTAGGAAGCTCTCTGACTTTCAACTCTAGTACTGTATTGTTTTGAAATTGGGTGGATGTTAGGAGAAAAAGAGCATTCGTTTTATCCCCTCAAACATTGAGCTATGTGTCTGTAAGAGTGACAATGGGAAGTTGCAGCCTTGCATGTCCTGTGGGGTAGCAAGATGGACCACAAACCTTTTTGAGGAGTGATGGAGAAAAGTGATAAATAATCAAATGTCTAATTTCATAACCTGCCATTTTCTGAGCGACTACAAGATTTTCTTGTTTTTCTCAGACAGTTCGTCTTCTTAACCAATACATTTTTGGAAACTCCTAAGAAAAGGTTCAGCTTCATTGTGGTCCATAAGAATGGTTAAATGTCAGTAGTGAGAAACACATTTTTAACATTTTGAATTGCTGTTTGTTTTCAGGTTTTGAAGCCGTTTGGGCTGAGGCTGAACCTGATCCCCCTAAACACCCTTTTCTCAGATTTGGTGTGTATGGTGCCCAGCAGAGGACAGCAAAACATGAAATCCAAGGAGCCACCTTGAATACTATGTGTACGTAATATAATTTTAAAACAAAACAAACGTTATATTGATTGCTGTGTGCATATTGGTAATTTTCACTGAAATCCTCTGATTTTCATGTCTTGACTTTTAAGAATGCCTATTTTTTTTTTAAAAAAAAATGAGATATTATTTTAAAAATGGAATGCAGATAAAAAATATTTTCAATTAAGAAATATGTGGTGTTTTATTTTTAAATAGTCTTTTTATGGTTTAAATGGTTTATTTTAAAATAGTGTTTAGTTTAATTCTATTTTAATGTTTATAATTTTTTAGTTTTTATACTGTATATTGCATAGTTTTTAGAGCTGCTAGCCACTTCGAATATCTGTTAGGAAAAATTGTAATAATAATAATAACAACAACAACAACAACAATAGAAGAAGACTGTCTTAAATTAAAACCCCAGGTTGAATAAGCCTGTAACTCGGCTGATAAGGTCCACTAAAGTCAGGTCTCATGCGAATAGTCCCAAGCAAGAATCAACAATTCATGAAATGCATGGCAATGGATTTCTTCATACTTCATATAGTTTTTATACATACCCAAACACAAATACAGGTGTAGGTTGTGATCTTGCATAAATCCTGATAATAGCCACATAAATCCTTGTACTGTACCAAGTAGACTAAAACAGAATCTGGATTTTTTTCCCTTTAAATAATGAAATACTTGACTGTTGACTTCAGGTAAAAACACCAGTCTGGCTAATGATGTTAAACAGCCAAGTAAAGTCTCTGAATCCAAATCTCCTGTGAACAATTCCAAACAGAAAACACCATGCAACGAAGCACAAGAGAGCAGTGTGGATACTTTGGGTAAGTATTAAGCAGTAATGTTTATGTCATCTGTGATCCAGAAATCCTTGTAACTTGCCAGTATTAGATCTAGGCATTCAAGAGAAAATTAAAATATGAGATACTGTACATAGTAGTCTAAAAACAGAATCTGAATTATAGGTTTAATATAATGAAATATTTCACTATTGGCTTCAGGTAAAAGCACCAGTCTGGCTAAGGTTACAGAACCCAGTAAATTATCTGCATCCAAATCTGATGTGAACAATTCTAAATCTAAAACAACAAACAATGAAGTACAAAAGAGCAGCGTGCATACTTCTGGTAAGTTTTAAGCAATACTTTTTATATAATCTGTTATCCTGCAAGCGGGG